GAGAAGAACCGACCAGAGAATCGCATAAGCCTCGGAATCACTCTTCCCCTGTGTAATTTCTGAACTGTGAACCAGCTCCTTATGAGTCGAGCGAGCTGAAAGTCCTCGACACACACTACTCTGAGGAGCTATATATAGGAGTATGTATATGTACCATAGGAATGATGATATTTAATGGTCACGACCGCGCTCTCGTCCTCGGTCGCGACGCGGCTTGTCTGGATCTGATCGATCGATCAATTATGCCGACTGAATAATCGAGTCTCTCGCGAACGGTAACCAGGGGAGCCGCGATGTTAGCGAACGCTCGCTTTCGTACATTTTTCAGGCGCACTTGTACCTGCCCCTGAAGCTCGACAATCGACTCGCCTCGGGATGTATGCGAGAACACCTAAATCTCACTCCGAGTCGACGTGTAGTTAGGAAAGACGAGTGGAGCCCGGAAGTTCTCCTGCGTCGCGGAACGGAGAGAATCCCTCTGAATCATCCGAGCTCTCACAATAGTGCGTTTCAGAGGCAGAGTCCTCCAGCTCGTGGACGAGGCGGGGGAGGGGCCTGCTCGGGGGAAGAACGTCTCCGTGTAAGGATGAGTTGTTCGTATAGGAATACAGAAGCACGTACTTGAGATATGAGGCCACGAGCCTCCGACCAACACAACAAATACCCAGCACAAATCATCCCACTCGCTTCGGGGCCGTGCGAGTACATCAACTGTACTCTGGAGAATTCAAAGTAATTTCAAATCCTTCCTCCTGCCCACACATGTCTGGAAGGATCTCCTCCTTGAAATGCCCTTGAAGTTCTACTTGAAACGCTTTCGGGGAGTATTAGAATAGGTAGTCCGAATTGATCGATCCAACACAGAATACGTCGAGATCTAGTCAGACCCTGTCAGTCGGCGACCTTTCCGAAGCCGAGCAGTGCGAGAGTCCCCTCATAACATGGAAGGGCAGGTAGGACAAGGGCCGACCGGACGTCACGTCACAGCATCAGCTATCGATCTCTTCTCCGCGTGACAACATTCGGATAAAAACTCTCGTAAAACCTTGTTGCAACGGCGACTGAGAGAATGATTGACCGTTGATGAGCTCTTCCCTGTAGCATATTATCCTTTCGTTCGTCGTTTCAACAACCGACTCCGTCAAACCTGTCATACTTCTGGTGTAACGTGGCTGGAGTCGCCGCAGAGAAAGTCCAATAACGGCTAGCAGTCGACACAGAAGAATAACAATCTTACTATAATATCTTAGTGTCGTAAAAATGACTTTTACAGCCAACCTTGCACTTAATAGGACTATAAAGACCGAGGCTTTCAGTGTGGGTGGCAGGATCTAAGGGTTCTGCGAGAACGAAAGTTTAAGCGTACATTCCTGCTGCGTTCGGATTCTCTTTCCCCTCCGGTAGGACAGACGGTGCTTGTCGAAGACATCACATTGGAATCTCGAGCCCTGCTCTCTGCGATCCACGTCGAGCACTCTCACCTGGGTTGGTGCGGACCTATGAATTCGACACCTTCCCACCGACGCAAGATTTGAGCTCGCCGTTCCCTCCATGGAGAATTCTGTTCGAGCCGATAATTCCATGAGTCTCGATATCTCATAGAGAAAATTATTACATGTAGAGTTCCTCTCACAAACTCGATCGCAGACGCTGATATTATCCCTTCCGGAAACTGACTGGAGTCTTTCCGCATAAGAGGTGAAGTGGGACCGGAGCCAGCTGTCAAAATCGATCGCTGCAAGCAGATCACTAGCGTATCGCAGATCATCAAAGCCCGATCCCCCAGCTGCCCCGCGATGGATGAGCCTGCCCTCGATGTACCCGCTGCTTTCCCGGAAAACTCTTCATATACTTCAGGGTTTCACCCGTGATTGGAAGCTCCGAGGGATATGTAGGTGGTCATGCTCTCCGTGCTGCTCCGCATAAGAACGCTCTCAGAAGAGCTCAGATTCCAGCAGATCTCGGGCTTCATCCTGTGGCGGTCGCTCCCTTTGAAATCATCGCTCCGGGGTGATTCATGCTACGGGAGACCTGTCGGAGGTGTAGAATATCGGGCCGTCTGACCGGCTTCACTTGGGAGATGGCTATACATCGTGCCTGCCATCCCCCTAACCGAGTATGTCATCAATCGATCAATTAATCGAGCTCGTCGATCGGACAGAGAGCTCCGGGCAACCTTGTATCAACGGGAGAGACACTATCAGAGATCTCAGTCCTCGCATATCGCATCAGGATGTTCCATAAGGAATGTCCGTCTGCGGTATCCCAGTCGAACGGTCTCCGAAACTTAGACTCGTCCGTCGCCTGCCGTAAGTGAAACGAGGGACGGACGAAGGGACGAGCAAGGAAATGATAGCCGTTGACGGGAACATGTCGGGAACACTATGGATTTATATGGTACAGACACCAGCTGCTTTACGATTCCATTTGAAGCGAATCCCGAGACACTCGGGTTGAGCTCGGTTCCCACTCGTACACGGGATCAGGTCACGGCACCGTCCGAGGAGAAAAAACCCTCGAGGAATGAGTCGCCAGCGGTCGGGACGACTGATTCCCGTCACCACAATGCAATGGTGTCGTTCGGCCGTGCTCACGAGCGAGATCGCCGATCCTCGTTCCAGACAGTCATGAACATCGACGTCGACGGGATCACGCTCCCGGAGCCTCTTCGAGGCAGCCCCAGTAGCATGTTTCCGACCAGCCCCGATCCCGATTCTCGTTATTTCAATGGAGCTGCTCGATGTGCCCTCCCTCCGCTATCCCTTCAGCGACTCCATTAAGACATCGCATCGTCCGCGAAGGAATCGGATCGGAAATTTCGACGCAGGAGAATCTGAGTGGATTGGATTGACACTTGACACGTGCAAAGCGGAGCCGACATGGTCTCACACAGCTCGCTCCCAATAGCACCGTTGAAGGGCGAGTCGGGCAAAACTTCTTCCCTCGACAGGGAGACAGCAGCAATAATGACGGCTTCAGGCCTGTCCCTCATCGAGCTCGAAATTTGAAGAGTGTCGGCTGGCAATGATAGCCAGCCTCCGTCGAGCCCACGGATGTCGTTTGCTCAGCCGGCATGAAGTCGGAGGAACTGTGCGGACCCGTGCTATCACAGGATCCGATCGTCATCCTCATTCCATCGACTCAACTTACCGTATTTCCTTTAACAGTGGGGCATGCTCTCATTCTCGAGCATGCTCTATTTGCCGGGCATGGTTCGACAGGTCTTATTCCAGACGGGCATGCTCTAATTACCGGGCACTCTCCCAAACCTCTATTTGACGGGCACCATCCGAACAAACTTCGTACAACCTCCAGACGTTTCCTGGAACGCCCCGTCCAAAGCCGGGATCCGCCGTTGCGACGAGGAATGGATGGCGCACGGCGAGAAACATTTGACCCGTGGCGGAAATTTGGCTGCTCCCCCAATGGAAATCTACTTGTCATGGATTGCGGATTCGTGGCGGGAGTTGCCCGAGGACTTGATTGTCAGGTCATTCAAACAGTGCGGCATCACTGTCGCCTTCGACGGTTCGGAGGATGACCAGATCCACTGTTTCAAACCCCATGGACAAACACCTGCCGGTCGCCAGAAGCTCGCTGAAGCTCGAAAAAGTCATGATTCGGGAAACGAATGCAACCTAAGCGGGGTGTCGAACGAGACGGACATGGACGAGCTCACAGATGATGAGCTGTTAGATGATGCGTAAGCGAAGAAATATGCATAAAACCATAGTGAGGTCCTGAGAGGGACCTTTGTAATATAAGAAACAGGCAAGCATTAGTTTGTGTTTTTTGTAGTTTGATTTTTCTTGAGTCCCTTGATAGGTCATCCAATCCGAACGGGCATGCTCCAATAACCGGGCACTTCCATTCAACGGGCACCCATCTGGGGGCTCTGAACAATTATCGGGCATGCCCCACTATTAGAGGAAATACGGTAAGTGTATCAGGACAACAGAATAGAGACGATTCTATTCATCCGATCGAGCGCCTGGCGAAGTTCGAACGATATCGTCGGCGAATCCCCCCTGTAGGGAGAAATCGCTCCACCGAGGGAATTCCTCACTCCTCAAAGATACGTCGCACGGATCTGAGCGCCGAGGCTACCGTCCCTTCGATGTGAGCCTATTACCGAGAAGTTGCCTGGTGAACGTCTGTCGTCTTCAGGTCCGGAAACTCAGCGGGGAGATCCGGAATCCTTCCCCCGGGATGTATTTAGACCATCAGACGCTTGCGCATTCGGCACGTAAGCAGAATATTCGGATCAGCAAACATGAAACTTAGCCCGCTCTGCAACATTCCCATGCCTCCTGTACGCAATGCACGGAACCGCGCTTCCTGGAACTGCAACGTTTTGCGGGGTCGGCTCAACTCCGGTCTCCCACGGTCTTCCGCGAGGGAGCGCGGCGCTCCGGAAAGTTTGTGATCACGCAAAGCCTAGAAGTCACCAAGCGAGTCATATCCCGAGTCGTACTGACATAGCACCACCGTACAGCTCATCATGGATGCGATGCCAATCATAGTTGAGCTAAGTTCGCAGTAATCCTGTAGAAGACCTTGGGGGGAATGGGAAGTGTAAGAAAACTGGGTCTCGCAACTGTTCAATAAGATTTCGAGGTGTTGTGAACGAAATTAAGAGCCCACAGCCCAACGTCTGTGATGCCCCGCTTTATTCGAAGTCTTTCGCCATCAGAGTCACATCGAAATTTTCCTCACATTCCATTATACAGTTACGGGCCTCGGACCACAGGCTGCGGCCGAGGCATTCGATTCGATGATACCTACACACATCATGTGACATGAGACATGTCGTGTAAAATCCCACTCGGATTCGATATATAAGCTTTTTTCCTCTTCGATTACTCGGCCCGGAGCAGGTTTGGTGAGAGATCTACTTCTGTCACGTCCGTCGGTGGGTGAGTCCAGATTCCTCACCGTAGACACTGACTCAGTGGGAGCACGGTATCGAACGTGGACGCTGAACGGAGCCTAATCGTTCTCTATGAGGCTATCCAGGGCAGTATGCAACAGAAGATCAAATTCAAGAGGACAATGAAGGCGACCAAGTTGATTCCGATCCGATCCAAGAATTGAGCAATCGCTGCCGGTCCAGTCTGCAAGAGTACGCTCCGTCAAGACGCTGCTCTCCGTGGGATCATGTGCGACGCCTCTAGGGCAAGTTCCCCACTATGGGAGCACTGTTGCGAAAAAGATTGGATAGGTGTGTATCAGGCTTCCGATTCTGTCGTCTCGGATCATAACGAGGTGAGAGGTTCGACGCATCCCACGCTGGCCATAAGGGAGACGACAGAGCATTTGAACCTACGAACTACCGTCTTCCTTACAGTCGGCGTGAGACTCGTAATCCGCGCGGAAATTCATACTTCTTTTCATCTACGCCCCGCTTTTCAACCGTTTTGTCCCACGCGCCTCGTCTTCTGGAGCAAATGGGGGAATATGGATAGGGTATACCTTATCTCGTGGAGGTCCCTCGATCTCCGCCTTGGAGATCATGGCGATTTTCAAAGCGAAATCGGACGCCAAGGCTTTGCCCAACTGTCGGCAGAAACAGAAATGTCATTCTCGTTCTCTCCGGGACACCTATCATGGCGCAGGAATTTCGACTGTCTCGCATTTTCTCACATAACTCACATGTATTCGCAATGCTTGGGTCATTCCCTGCGGCATACTGTTCTCCTGCAGAGCCATTTGGAGGCAGTTGATAGCGATCGATAATGATAGGGCCACGATCATGTTGGCGCAAAATATGTGCGTTACGGTGAAATAGCTCGGCAGATGAGCAGAGGACTGGAACCATCCAGCCCCGCAAACGAGGAGAATACCTGTCGCGTTCCCAGAGCAATTTTCTCGCGTTATCTCGAAGATTGAACATACATATGTATCGAGGAGCCTCAAGATCTCGTGACCTCGAAAACTACAATTGACCAACCTGCGACTATTCTGATCTCTACCCTCTCGCAAGGGATGCAGAATGTGAGCAATGAAACAATCACGACCCAAATCAGCGGTATGTGAATCCGAAATAGATGCAACAGAGTCGATCGTCTCCGCAGATGCAGGGTAACAGCGGCAGAGCTGTACGGTTGTGGACAGCAGTCGTAAACCTTGACCACTTTTTCGCTCTCGATATCTGAAACTCGTCGGCTCGATCGAATTCTCATTGAGCTTTTCACGCATGACATGACCGATTTCGGGAGGCAGGATGAGGTCCGAATCATACAGAAGGATCGTAGCTCCCCCAAAGGACTCACTTTTGACCTGCCACGTCCCGACGTCCCCGGTTTCTCCCAGCGTCGATTTATCAACTTTGATATCGATGTTCCGCGCATCGTGGGTCCAGGAACCGACTACGAGCGGGCAAGAGATCGACTCGAAGGGGTAGAGAAATCCGGACGCTTGACACACGGTGCTAAGCGATCGTGGTTGTACCAGCATCACCCGACCCGATGCAGACACGAAGGTCAAAGTCTGCTCAACTTTTTCAGGTGTAATTCTGAGGGGTCAGAATCCTTGTTACAACTCGAGGTATACTGAGGATTCATTCAAGAGTACGAGTTGAAGGACCCATACCCATTGAAAAACTTCATGTCGGGCGTCCAAATCTGTTCCGCCGGGAGGTTTATAGATGATATGTTGTGGTAGCGAGCAGGTGTCCACGCCAGGTTATAATCCGACCAGGTCATCGAGAGCCAGACACTGGTCTTCATCTCGCCCACCGACAGGTCCTATCATGCCCGAGCGTGAGTATTCAGCGAACTCTTGGCCAAGTTTTTCAAAATACGAATTACATGAGATCATGATCGTCGAATGCTTTCCCATCAGAGAGATCACGTTGCCGACATCAGCATCAATATCCGAGTTCTCATCGATCAATTAAAGATCATCTCAAGGGGCGGAAAACATCGGCCTCAGCCCCTACGTCTCTTACTCACCACATCGATTACTTTTTGTAGCTGTACGGATAATCGGACCTCCAAGGGCTGTTGATTGATCAAGTTCATGGGTCTTTCATTGGTATTGTAGTATTTCAGCAAATCCACCAGCAGCTGTCGCTGGTACGATGCTGTCGAGGTCCCGGTGACTGCAAAACAAAGCGGGACTATATGCTAGTGCTCCGGAAGACTCCATCTGTCCGACCGTTGGAACAGGGACTCTAGGCAGCGGTTCCGAATCGAATACAGCCCGATCTTATTGGGTGCCCAATAGCAGCGATTGCCGTGACCAGGCTCCTGCCCGACCTCGATGCTTGCCGGAGGTGCATCCTCGTTCCCCGGAGGCACACGGGAACCATTTCTGTACGTAGCGGTATCCATGGCCTCGCACCTCGATCGGATAGAACCTGAAGCAATCCTGCGAGATCGCGGATGTCGTAACCGAAGCGTGGAAGCCCTTCAGACCCTCTGCCTTGTTATTTGTTATCACAATCGTGACGGCTCTCCCAGCGAACGCGCCGAGCGCTCTCACTCCCTTGGAAGATCAATTGGACAACTGGCGCAGACCAAAGCCGAACTACTAGTGCCGCGCGAGTCGAGCGGCCGGCAGCTGTCCTCGAACCCAACAAAACGAACGACGGTGCTCTCGACACCACGCGACGAGGGTGTTATGGGGACTCCAGGAGGATACGCACTGTCTTCCAATCCCTCCAACGAGTCATTTGGCGACGCGTATTGCGTCCTTCGAGTGGCCTGAGCATCCGAGGCATGCGACTTCGAGAGGAGCGGCACCTCAGAGAACCTCAGGATAGTCACTCAAAGATGAACCCACGGAGCTTGGGAGGTGACTTTTCTAACTGATTCTCATTCTCCAATCGACAACTGGGATCGGGAGACATCCTTGGCGCTGAAGGGGCAATTGGATCTCTGGTGGTCTGGAGCACCAGCTTGATTGTCATAACAAGGATAGGATATAATCTTCTGTACATACATTGACTCACCCAGAACCGCGACTCCCAAAAGACAGTGAAGCCAGGCTGTCATCGTCCTCAGTATCTGGAATCAAAACGGGATCGCGTTCGAATATTCGCAATATTCGAATCTTTGATAAGACATCTTCCGATCGTAGGAGGGATCCTCCCCGGATTAAATTATGCCCTGCACCCTTCCGCTCATCTCCGGGAGCACAATGGGAATCCTCCCCTCATACTGCATGGTACAGGGCAAAGCAAGATCGCTCCATTGAATGAATGGAGGGTTCCTGTGGATGTGTGGGTGGTTTCGTTGCCATTCATTCATCGAAGGAGGACCGGATGCGCCTGAGTTTACGTTCATTCAGCGATTCGTTTCGGAGGCCCTCGGAAGGTTTATTGTTGAAGCGTGATGGTTTCTTTGATCTTTCCCGCTCTGGTCATAAACAAAGGCGTGTCTGAAGATTGTCGCCAAGACTGCTGATCGTGGGACAAAAAAATTCCAATCCATTACGCATCAGAATGATTGCTTGGCGTTCTCTGGTACTGGACATTGAGACTGACTGAGTGGGAAGAGTGAGCACAGTGGAGACCGATTGCAGTATATGAGCCACTTGTTGATTTGGAATGATGTCCATGATTTGGAATCGTGAGTCTATGTACGGAAGCCCTCTGTCTCGAAGTTAGTGCATAAACTCAAGCGGACGGACATGGGCAATTGTCAGGATTGTAGCGAAGATGATATGAATGACTCCTGTACCAACTGAGTGAAAATGTTGCTGCCGTCGATGAATGTTCCCCGCGATTGAGGGGTATCGACAACTCGACCGGTCGCCACTCCTTTTCGGGATATTCTTGCTCTGAATATTCATTCTCCTACGAGCAAAACTGACAGTGAAAGTCGATGAGCCCCCTGAATGCGATCATGCTTTCAGACGGAGACTCGATCGGTAGGAAATCTCCGAAAATTGCCGTCGCTCGCTGATAGAAAGCAATACAGACGCTCCGAATGGTTTTCTCATGATTCGGCTCCGAGGTGTGAGGTCAAGCTCTGGCCCCAGAAGCGGAAGTGGTCCCGGCGACGACGGGGCTCGATACTCGTTCGCTCAGGCAGACGGAGCAGACTCGGCTAGCGGATTCCCTCTCACGCTCTTCTCCTCATGATGTGTGATTGTCTTCTATTCACTTACCGCTATCAGAATTCGGCCACGAAGTCCGAGGCTGATGAAGGGAGCGGTTCCGAGCGCTATGAACGGATCCGAGAAGAACACGAAGTATTCCTCTGCCCACAATCCACAAAGATCAAGTTCCACCGTATTTCAGGAGTCCAGAGTACGGAAAGCTCTTGTTGTTACGAGTTTGGTCTGTCACTGTTCGAGCGGGAGTCCGCGAGAGCGCCTCCCTGGTATGGAGAGACGAGAATCCATTCGCTGGCATCTAGCCCGCCCCATCCTTTCGCATGGCGCGGCAAACAATGATCATCGTTGAGAAGCTTCGCTAAGTGCTTCTTATTGATGGGGAAGCGAGCCCCGTCTTGACAATTCATCGGAACTTGAACGCCTTTAATCGTCGTTGGCGCGCCGTGAAAAAATCGTACCCTCATGATTGTCGAAGTCGCGAGACCGCGACCGCGATGGCCTGCACTCACGATGAGAAGGCGTGAAAGATGGTATTTAGGTATCGTATCCGGTGATGAAGCGGAGAGACAAAAAAACTCACTCAATACTCACAGACGGAGTATTTCTACAGAATCTCTTTACATCATGTGGCTCTCGGTGGAAATTCATCGGTTGATCCGCTCAGATACAATCAAGGGAAGTAATTCTCAGATCGATGGTCCAATGAGTGATCAATCCTTGGGGTCCGGCTAGGTCCGAGTAGATCACGGTGGAGGAAGAACAGATCATTTTAGCCCACTCCATTCAGCAACTGTTGGTACTCCCTGCCTGGTGAGTTGCTTCGTGACTCCCATGGTCGACTCTTCGGCCGACGGCCAATCGGCTCGGTACCGTTGAATCGTCGGCGGAGTAACGGCAGCAGCTCAATGATACGGGAAGCCCTCCGAACCTTTGACGAGGTTTGTACGGCCACCGTGGGACCCGGTTTGGGGCCTCTCTGACAGCTTGACACACTGACTGAGTCAGAGGATCTCTCTCCGACGTGAGCAAGCGCTTTCTATTGGCAAGACAACAATATTTTCAGGGAGCCATTGTTTCTGGTACGTCGCGAGTGCAGACAATACCCGTCACTTCGTTCATTCGAAACGAGTTAATCTGAGGAAACGTTTTTTGCTGGGCGTTCTCGCTCAATGTCTGGATGAAGCTGGAAAAGGCGGGAAATCCTGAAATTGAATGTCTGAGTCTTGCCAAGGAAGATTCAGCGAGAAAAATCCCTCCGAATGGACCCTAGCTCACTGATTGAGCTCGCGGAATGATCATATTCAATCATCGATTCTCAGAATACGGACGGATCGAAAACTCGTGCGCCCGGAGAGACACCCATTCTATTTCTCCTGCCGCTCCCGCGTACATTGTCGCCTTTGCTCTAAGAATTGTTCCGCTATTGCTTACAAGGAATCGCCGAGTTTCGCCCCCGATGCTTCAATCAAGAGAAATCGGTCGGGCGGAGTCATTCGTCTGCTCGAATCAGGCATCTCTATGTCAGTCGTCACGGACATTGGGTCAAGAGTTAACGGTATTCTCGTCGTTCAGACGGACCCTGCTCGAGCATTGGCAGTACACATTCGCGACTGGCGGTAGGAGATTCCAGTCTCGGAGCTCTGATATTCAGAGATGGGGCATTCTAATCTGATAGCGCAAGCATGGAGGGTGGATCCTGACGATCGAGGAGGCATTCGCAGCATCAATCCGTATGCTGGACTCCGAGGCATCAGGATTCACGCATCGAACAGGCTTCAGAAACCGCATCTCGTTTCTACGTTGTGAATCTGATAGCCCCAATCTCGTTTAGAAGAATGTACGTAGCTCCCGGGAGCGAATGAAGTACATATCATCGGGTGAATCGCTCACGTCCGGCAGCGCTTGCTCTAAAAGGATTTGCGTTCACTTAAGCGTTCCCCGCAAGGCCTCATCCAGCATCGACTTGACTTATTCGTTGATAGGATCGTCTCTGGAGCTCGTTACCCTCTGATTGAGAATGCAAGTGGGATCTGCGGACACGCCGGAACAACATTCGAACTCTCGCCATCATAAAGATGGCACGGTTTGGTGATTCCAAGAATTGAATCTGTACAGGATTGTAGAACGAATATAGAAAGGAGGAGACTTCACAATACGTATCGAACTCATCTTAAATCGCCCGGCTCACTCCCACCGCAGCGCGAGAGATACGAGGACCCTGCGGAATTCGCTCTCGCAGTGTTCCTGCCGCAGCTCACAGAAGGGGTGGAGGATCTGCCGTCGGCTATGGTTTAATTCAGTGAAGCGGATAGAGTCAATGCTCGGTTTTCTCCGGAGCATACGCTCTGCTCTCTCCAAATTGTGGATGCATCATTATTATCATCACAGACACAACTTCATTCAGGAATTTCCAGAAAGAATGTTCACCTACCACGTCTCGTTCTACGTGGTACATTCGGAATCATTCCAAATTCAAGAGAGCGCCCAGGGATGAGCCTCTCGAATGGATCGATGCCACGGCCTTGCACAGCGATGACATTCTGTATCAAATCAGAATGCCGTGGTGCCAATGATGAGTTTCCTCCCGATCGACGGGATCGCTGAGACTAAAGTCTACGCTCTGCCCAAGGACTCGCTTGGCCTTCGATGGCTTGAAGTTCGAATTCTTCCGGCGCGGCGCGTACTTTTGAAGCTCAGCCGCAAAGTTTAGCCACGTTCAGAAGAGTATTGATCGACGTCAATCATAGACATCTCCCAAGAAAGATTCGATAATCCCACTCGTGATTCGAGGAAGGGTCAAGTCTCATTCGGAGGGTTCGAAAGCACATTGAACCTCGTGCTAGCCCCGGCGCCGCCCCTGCATTCCGCGCTCTCCGAGAATACTGAGCTCACCCCTCGGAAGGACTCGACTTTCTGAAACGATCAGCCCCAGATGAAATCCACCCCACGAATTTCCGAAAGAGTGAATCGACGATTGAAAACCCTCTCCCGGAGGATACCATCACGTGAGATCGAGAAACAGCTATCTGGGCATTTTGCTCCAGTCTCGGTCAGAAGCTCTCGATGCTCCGAACATGAAGCTGATCATCGCCTTGATCCTCTGCTTGCCCTTGAGCGTTGCGGCCGGTGTGGATTCGAAAGAGAACGTCACCAAGCAATGGCTCGATATTCAGTCTCGGCTGGAGACCACACTCGCAGAACATTCTAAAAATGTTTTCCGTCTCATCGGACCTGCTCTCATGGAGATGGATATTGATCCCCGGTGCTTGGGCAGCATCAATCGCCTACAGGGAGGAATTCGGAACCTGGAAGTACAGTACTACAGGCGTAAGTTTTTTCAGATTTTCCTCCATTCATCCTGAGTCGCGGGATTCCAGCACTTTTTATTTTTTGCCATAGAGGAGCTCCGATTCTCACGACGAGAGCACTTGGAAACCTAAGGCACCGATTTTGATTCGCAGTCATAGACGCGTCTGGGAAACTATCTTCCGGAATCATTCACGGCACTATGGCGGATTTCGGTAACTTCGAAGAATGCCTCGATACGGTTGTGCGCAAAGATGACGGAGATTTCTATTTCCGGGTGAGTTTACGGAGTCTTCTCCGCTGATTAGAGTTCTTTTATCCCGTAGTGCAGGCCCCCAGTGATGATTCCAATGAGGGACCGTTCGAATATTGATGAGGGAATATTTTCAGGGGCAATACTGCCTGGCTGAAATGCGTCTCCCGCTGCCCGAGAGACCAACAACCTTGCTCGCCAGCGGGGAAGGTGTCATCGATCCGGGAAGTTTCCGAAGTGGCTCTCTATTCGAGCATTTTGCGACCGAGAGTCTAGCATTGTATTGGCTATCTTTCCGACAGGGACTTTGCGTCCCTTCGACGTGCTCTGAATCCGACGTCAACACAATCTATGGGAAATGTGAGTTTCGGTTTTAATTTTGAATCAAGTCCCCTTCATCAATGGTATAAGACGAAGGCGGAATAGCCCCACTGACAATTTTCATCCAAAATTTAGTCACCGAAACGCTAATGCTGAATGGCACGGTTTTTGCCTGTCAGCAGAGAGAGGACAGCAAATCGCTCAGCAGAGCCCAATGGATTACCATGTGAGTTCTGTGGCCCGCAGATAACCGAGTCCAGCTTCTGCTGAATTCATCCGAGTTCAGCACAATATAAGAATTGACCCATGCGGCCGATATCGAATCTCACGCATTAATTCAAACCCCTTAGTTGCTGCTTAACCCTCGTCTCGTCCATGGCGGCGTTCGTGAGCCTCGCGAACCTTTTTTGTTCAACGACCGATCGACCATCTCCAGGTAGGTTTTTTCTCTTCTTGAGGGCATGTGCTTTTCGCCCTTCATTCGAGGGAGACGGAGACTCCGGAGCTTCCCGGATTCACCACCGAAGCCATTGGACTCCGAAAAAGGGTACGAGACATATCCGCCTGCCTTCTCCTTCGAGCTTTAAAGCGAGCAAATGGTTTTCTTGCAGCGATCTTAGCACCCTTCCAAGCATTAGCCATCGAACACACTCTGGGAAAGCTATTCTCGTCAGAACAAAGGAGCAGGAACCTCGGTTTCATCCATGGATTGAGGATATGCAGTCTTTTCTGGATCATCATGAGCCATTCGTACGCCTATCTGGAGATGAACTCCCTTGGTATGTTTCGATTTTCGACGCTTATATTTCTTGAGGGTGCGGCCGACGGGAACTTCCGTCTAGTCCGATTTCCGAAAATATAAGTCTTCCATTCTATCCACAGCGAATGCCGTGCATGTGCAGAAAGCCCTGCGGAGTTGGCTCTTCCAGCCGATTTCGAATGGATGGTTGGTCGTCGACTCGTTCTTCTGCCTGAGGTGAGCTGGCGCGGTGGAGGGGTTGCTTGTAGAAGCTCGCTTAAGTCTTCGTCTCATTCCCCCGAGGAAGGTATCTTCTTCATATTTTTCAACCGTACCTCTCTTTCCTCAGTGGTTTCCTCGTAACATACCACATGGCTGATACGAAAGCTTCTTGGTCGTCGATTCCCCTGAAATACGTCCTTCGGTATTGGAGGTAAGCCGTCATGAACGCATCATCATTCAATTGCTCGAAACGCCGGGTTAACTTCCCGCGAACTTCCGACTAGGAACGTCTGGACATATATCATCGTAACGGTCGACCCCGATTTTTCAGACTCGTCCCCTTGGCGATCGCGGTTCTCAGTTATCAATTTCTCTTCGAAATATTTTTCGAAGGTCCTCTGATGCCTTTACTCAACGATCCAATGACGAGAGACTGCGCTCAGAACTGGTGGCGCATTCTCGTCGCGGATTACGATTTGAGGGACGAATCATCCGTAAGTAGCTTCCGTATGATGACGTCCCAATTTACTCCTCCAGATATTAGCGATTGCTTGATCTCTCTGAGGCTCTCGAACTCCCCGATACATTTAGTAGCCTCGACCGATGAGGTTTCGAGATTCTATGCAGCGATTCATGATTCATGCATCATTCATTCCCCGTTTTATTCCCTCATTAGTGTCTACCTCACTTCTGGTACGTCGGCGTGGATCTGAAGCTATTCGCTATACAAGTCCCCCTGTCCATGCTTATATGGAAGAAACCTAGGATGGGAATCTTTTTTCACGGAATGGCTATAGGTCAGTATCATGCGACTATTCTGAGCCAGCCGATAAAAGGAGAACGGAAGAATTATCATCGAGGAACGTGGAAGATCCTCACGGAATGTATTTTTCAGTTCTTTCGGCGAGTCGGAATGCCTATCTCTCCTTCTCCAAAGGGCTACCACCCATAATTCCACTGGGCCAAGACCGACCACTCGCTATCGAGGTAGCCCGTACAGTCTACTTCCACTGGTGTACACACCTGGCGAGTTATACTATTGGGTCACTCGCAGCCTTCCTTGCGGTGTCGCACAACAAGAGCCTGGGGAATAGAGTCAGTTTGGTAAGTATAAGGGAATGCCGACGGTCGGTCAGATCACGATACCCTCTCCGATCGATTGATTTCATCGTTTTCCAACGCAACTGAATTCACGCTTGCCCTCCCACAGCCATCTAGAATCATGTACTGGATTTTTGCGACTTTCGCGGGTGTTGCTGCTGTTTTTTCGGCGCGATTCTGGATTCTGTCAAAACCCGGTATCTTATGGAGCGTCATCTACGCCAGTCTACAACGGATCTTATGGAGTGCAAATATCGGTGAGCAGTCATCCTAACAAAAAAGATTATACCCGTCTTACGGCTGATTCCCAGGAGTGCCGCCCCCCTCCCGATTCCTTGGTACTCAAACTACCTGAATATTGCAGGATGGATCATGTTCGCCTGCGAAGCCGGGTACGCCAACGCGCTGAACAAGTTACTCAGTATTCGTCAATGGGTCCCTTTGTCACGAATCTCCTACGCGGTATATCTGTGCCATGCTTACGTGCTGTACATGAACAACCGAGCCACTCATGAACGCAAGGAGGCGTCGCACTACTCAATCGTAAGTTCGAAAGATCTGACGGCCTCGCTGGTCGTCGACTCTCTCTCAGTGGCACGGACGCATTCATGAGCGCACCTACTTCCTCGCAGCGACGCATTATGAAAAGCAATGTACCTTGTCTTACGAGTGACGCTTCATTGCAGCTTCGCGACGCTTGTGCGGTCTTGATCTTTTCAAGCCTTTTGGCGTTGTTCACCACGGTTTTCATCGAAGCACCCATAATTGCGATCCAGAAGGCAATGATGCGGAAATTGCTGCCCCGTAGGGCACCGCGAAAGGAAAACCATGTCTTGGAGCCCGTCAAGGACATCAAAGTCGACGTCGATCGTCTGTGAAGCGCTCAAACTTCCCCATCCGGCTGTGATCTTAAATCTATGGAGGAGTCCCCCGCTTCCGATGTAGATTATGTTTGGTCGGAATCCTTTTAATATATAGAGCTTGTCGATGAGAATTCTCCCGTGTGTTACTCGATCCCAGAGGCTCACTTCGAGCTGTAGGATGGAATGCGGTGTATTCCCGCTACGGACGTGAAAAGTATAACCGGTGCCTACCTACGATGCCTCGCAGAGCAGAGCCAGGACTCTTGCTTGAGACATACATGGAAGGAATGATGCATTTAGATAGCTTCATGATGAAAATAGGTTTATTATTCGGCAAGGACCCATTCCTTCTCTTTCTCCCGTTTTCTTGACTAGCAATCAGCGGAAGTATCCCGTGCATCTCAGTCATCATTCACACCACTTCAAGTTTCGTTTTCATTCTTTTGATTTTCTCGGGAGCCCAAGGCAAGCTTGTTCTGAGGGTGCGACTGTGGGTTCCGTGACTCGGTCTGGAAGGTCTCCGCAATGGTTGGCACCTAGGTGAGCGTCCTTGTCAACTGCAAAGTAATAGAGCAAGATAGTAAGGCAGACATTCGCGTGAATCGCTCGGAAGTCGCCATATCCATGGGAGGTGATGATTCCTGTGACGCAAGGCTCAGACTTCAAACTGATCAGAAGAGGTCAACCCTCCCCCTCGTTTGAGATTATTGGCCTTACGACTCGTTTTCACCGGCTTCAAGGTTTTCATTATTTATCACTCGAGAGCGATGGTGGGGAGTTTTTCAAGATCGAGGGTATCATTCATCGTGTATCCTTAATCCACGGTCTTCCTACGATTCACCGGAGCTTTTTTATGATACGACACGCCCTCCTGAGTTGCAAGAGTCGACTCTCTCATGAATTCATAAATTGATCCTAACTTATTCATCTCAAAATGATCCGCCTGATGCCGCCGAACGATTATTGAAAACTCTCAGCGAAAGCTTCGGCTCCGAAAAGTCAACAAGGCTTGTTTATTAAATTGAATAAGAGCGCGACTTCCGAGGATTCTCCTCAGTCATTTTATCCTGATCCCCTGGCGGTCGGAGCTGGATTCGCCAAACTCCACGGCTAATCACGTGCATTCTCCGAAAGTCCAATCCGACTCGTTGCCGGATCGCGCTTGCCCGCGCCCAGGGTTGCTTGGGAGGTATGGGACTCGTTCAGGTGATCTGCCATGAGATCATCGAATTCATTGCATCAGGTGACTCCTCAATCGGCAGCTCGTGCGACTCGACCGAGCACGGAGGCGGCCTACCTCACAGATACACAATTCCCGGTCTATTCAAGCATGCTCGACGGACAAATATCTCCACTTCGCACAAGGACTCGACCCAATGATTCCCGCACTCGCTCAGAGATACAACGATAAGTCGTTCTCGGGTTCCGGATAGGTACTCCTTCGCTCTTCCGAGTAGTCGTCGAAAGCCACGCCTGACCCGCTTATCAGTGCGTTTTGAGATAAGATTAATTCCGCACCGAGCATCAGTATCTCTCCGAAGGACCTACAGATTGCGAGCGAGCGGATGCAGAGAAAAACCTTACTATTTTCTGTATGAAAATATTTGACGACCGCTTCCGCGCTACCTGTTTCGAATTTCCCAGTGATGGAGCACAGTCGATCGACTGTTTCGAGAAATTCACGACTTTGTTCAACATATTGTCTGAAGTCCCCGCGCTGTCTTTTCCATGCAGCCGACTAGTATTCACGGCATCCTCCGACTTGAGACGCTCCGCTGTAGCTTCGACCCCGATCTCAACGGACGGACGGAGCATCGTCTCCTTCGTGTCAGCCGGATTGCTCTCCTGTAAGAAAACTTCTCGTTGTTCCTCTGGTTTTGCGATAGAGTGTACATCTTCTTCTTAGATCTAGCTTGGATGAGCTTAATGCAATCTTGAGCGGATTTGGAAATAATTCCTGAGATTCAGCGTACCCAAGGTCGCGCATGCTTGACGACAGGCTCACAGCTCTCATCGTCGTCGGACTGATTCGTTCTGGATTCCTCGATTCTGACGAGTTTCTTCACCCAATGGACTGAGTGTCTGCTATCTTGTGCGTTGTCTCTCAAGTCGGGATCCTCGTCGCCTAGGACATCGGTCCCTTTCTGCGCTTGTACGGTCGTCTGCGGAGCATGAAACAAGCAGTTGAGCCGAAGCTTCTTCTAGAATGCACCAAACTCGTGAGACGAGGGTGGGATACTCGACTCCAGAAGGGACTTACGCAAGGAATGCCGTCCACGAAGACATTGTCGTCATCGACCTCCGTCTCTTCTATTCCTATCATTTCGCCCGTTTCTACCCTACTGAAGGAGGCGGATCCTCCCGGAAAAAGGTCCTGGTGTATGTTCGGAGCGTTGAGCTCAACCTGAACTCTTCCATCGTTTTCAATGGCCACCAGCATATAGGCGAATTTGTGGGGATCCTGCGGGCAACGGAGAAATGAGAAAAACATCGAGTCCCTCCGGCAGAAAATCGGGAAGGAGAAGAAAATCGAAGGGTCCGGGGACGAGCTTGAGGTCTTGGCCGCTCGACCTCCTGAAGGAGCGACTGCATGGGAGAGGCGACGAAAGTGGAGGAGACTTCTGAACGGCCATTACATGGAGCGGGAAAACTCGCACGGGACGGACCGGGCAAATCTCTCGGTGATCGAAGTTCTGCTGCGGGGAATAATGCTCTCAAATTCACGAACCTTTTCCGTTATTCGGATGTGCTTGCAAGTGTATCGCCAGTACTGAGCTCCATTCTGCACCCTCGACCATTGGAAAGTGAATTGAAGACCTCTATCGGTCTTCAACGTTTCTTTCCATTTTTTGAACTTGGCGAAGTTGTCGAAGTTCAGCGACTGGAAGGGAGCGCCTCATTCAGGGACTTTTGACAGGGCTTGGTATACGACAGAGAATGACGGCGGGGTGGTCGGTAGCCGTGAACGCCGAAGACGTCGAGAATTATATCCACGCAATACCGGGCGGATTGCGGAGAAAACTATTTCGGAGCTCGATTCATGCCTACCTCGGAAGCGCTCGTCGTCATGACGGTTCTGTTTTGCGTCAGGTGATCAGCGCTCGAAAATGCCGCGACTCCACGAATCGCGTGGAGGGAGCCGAATGGAGCTTGGCAGTTTTCCGCTTGATATCGCTGCGCTCCGATGCAACGCCGGAACGTGATGGTTCCAACGTCCCGAAGACCTGTCATTGGGCATAAAAATCGATAGCAGGTCCGGAGACATCGGATAAGGGCTCGGCCACGCTAAATTGGGCTGTCGCGGAGTCAGAAGCCTTTGTAGTAAGGAGAATTCGGATGGAACCTGAACTCACCTGGCTAGTTTTGAGACTCCCACGAACTATCGCATGCCACCGATGGCTAACTTGTGTCCCGACAGAAGAGTCCGAATTGGGAATATGTACGGATAGGGGATTGTAGATTGATCGCGGAGCCTCTTCCCTCCTTTCCTCCGAGTCGGTTTCTGAGTTGAGGTGCATCAAGGAAATTATCAGGATATCATTTGAAGAAATCCCGAGCGCCGGGGAGGGGTCCGTCGTTTGCGTAGCATTATTGTACACTGATGGAATTTCAAGGCAGTGATGATTACACCGGATAAGACAACAACAACACCACCGATTGCCGAGAGAAAAGAGAGAGAGAAGAAAAGCCGGGTGCCGATCCCGACTGTGTCTCGCACTCGGAGGCCTTTATGACATCTTCGCCCACTCCATAAGGGGGGTCGCCAGCACACGGCGGATCGTCGCGTAGATTCGGGAAACTTCACCTGTATACACTATGCCGTGATGGCCGTAAACGGATCAGGAGTCAGGAACTCGAATCTATGCGTCGGCTGCCGTAGCGAAATGTCTCGTCAGTGAGCTTCTTGTACTCTGTGCGTTTTTATCGACTTCGACAAAAGTGATCCGATGACTCTGGCGGATTGAGGGAATTAGCCGTCGAAGAGGAGGAGTCAATCGCTCGCATCTAGCTTCCAGGATCCCGGAGGCGCATGAGCCCGGATCGGGCGACAAGGTCCGAGGGTCCCGATGCGACCGACGGGAGAGCGAATCGCCTCCACCGCTGAGGTGTCTCGTTACGCGGATCGCAACGAGACTTTAGAACTCTGGTGCCTCCCGATTCCGGGTAGGATCGCGATTTCTCTGGGTTCCGACGTCGTCATGTCCAAGGAATACTGGGTCGGAATCCGTTTATTCGCGAGAGCCATGGGATACCCTTCTGAGCCTGGGTATGCTCTGCTCGAACGGACTTGTCTCGTCATCATCATGAGCTCTTGTCGGTCGGTACCATCACGCGGGACCAGGGTCTCTCGATGATAATCGCCGCATGGTAGGACTCATGGGATATTCTATTCCAGACGCATCCCGCATTCTATCTTCCATCAAGGAGTGAGCAAGCTCCGCGCGGCTGGTTTGTATCCGTTGGCCGGTGAACAGGACTAATCTTCGAGGTTCGCAGCATGACTCCTCTCTTCTTCTATGTAGCGTTCGCGACCTTCGTAACTGTGGACCTTGCCGCTCAAACGATCAAGCGTTAGTCAGATTCGTGGAAAATTACTCGTCTCCCGATATACGAAGGTATGAATGAGCTGAGAGGGAAGCGAGCCACGAAATTTTCAATTTTAGTGCTCCGCGATGCTAAACGGGATGCCGAGAAATACATGGACGAGCTGCTCGGCAGACATTTTCCGGTACGCCTGTCCGGGCTCAAGCCACCTCTGGAGGATTTCTCGTGTCTCACACCGAGACATGGGCTTGGCCTCAACGGTTCCCGATCTGAGGATGTTCGCGCAAGGTTCAGCCACGGAGGCTATGACGGATTGAAAGACCTGACAAGAGTGGAGTGCGGCCCTTCCGAATTGACGTCCCTCGATACTCTTTCCGTGAATATCCGAAATATCAATTACCTATTTCTGTCGCATTCCCACAATCTCCTGATTCTTCAACCGGAACATGTTTCTTTTACTGCGGTTCCGGCAATTCTAGGTCTCGCCTCATGGAGCAGTTTCGATGATCTATTATTTCTTCAGTTGCTGTGCTCGCTGAAGCTGAACCACCTGGTTTTCTCCTACAAAATGCTGGCAACGGGACTCGACAAAAGAGGCAGGCGTGCCCGGAGACTGCTCGTTGGTCACATCAAGAGCGCGATCTACGGCGTGACTTTCACTCAGACGTTCCCGGACGACGTGGTCGTCAGCCAGATCATGCCGGAAATGTGTGTATGGTATTGTACCAGTCAGATACCGGCAGTTGTGCGGTGAAACTTTGCATGAGCGGATTCGAACTACTCCATTGGCTTCCAGTGACGTCGAGCCCAGCCTCGACTTCGGGGGAATCGGTCTGGACAAACTCAGTCACGCACGCCTCAAAGAATGCGCCGTTTCCGGCGTGCGCAGAGAGCTCATGAGAGCCATCGAGGCTGATCTCTACCTTGCCTTGAGTAGCGCTCTGAGTCGAAATGGAGCAGATCTTCCGCAGCCATTCATTGCGAAAGATGCCACGGTCGGAGGGGATGAATCTACAGTCGGAGGAAATGAATCCACAGTCGGAGAGACTGAATCTACGGTCGGAGGGAATGCATTCACGGCCGCGACGGATGATACTTCGGTCGGGGAAGATTATGTCACGGACGATGGAGATACCGTCACGCTCGAGGAAGAAAGTCACAAGGTCAACAGACAGTGAATCCCTCTCTACCTCACTCAATGAAGACGCCTCCTTTGGCCTTTGTAAGAAAATCGAGAACATGAAGACGGGTTCTGTTCACTCTTTGGAAATTCGACTCTTGCCCTCCGTGAGTTGAAACTGGCATCGTGAGGGGACCTCGAGAAATGAGCAGCGCGATCGTGTACTTGATTTCTTCCATTGGTGATGAGCAGCGCCGGCGCAGCGCCTGAGATCGATAGCTATCGGTCTTCAACATCTCAAGTGCTCTCACCATGGATAAATCCCAGCATCGAGGCAGTAATCGAATTATGAGAGATCACATGAGGGATCAGATAAGGTGGTACACCTCGATCACATACCGTGCGATATGCTGGCGTTTACCTTCCGGACTTTCCGTTCGGTACGAAAATCTTTCTTCTATCGATCATATTCAAGCCTCGTATTGATTGACTCCGTGCTCTTATCGAATCTTGAATCGCATTAGCGTCGAAGAGGTATCACACTGAAGGATCGGAATCGGCCAAGCGGAAAAGTTTCGATAACTCTAGTCCCAAAATGAGAATCGCCGTATACCAGTCCATATGATCGACAGTCTCACCTCGACATGATCACTCCGATCGCCTCCCCAAGAATCCGGGGTATCACGTACACCGACGACACCGACAATTACGGAGAGTAGCCCGAGAGCAAAACACACAGAATGTCGATTCCGTCATCAAAATCTCCCTTTCTCCTGAAAAGATAAGCACAGCTCGATTCTCTTGGCTGCAAACAAGCGGATTGCAGCTCGTTCAGGTTGGCACGGCTCGCGGCATGTCGTCCATTCGCTTTCCGATCGCTTTGTTCGCTCTCCTGGCTTGCAGCGTTTTCGCTCAAGAGGATGATCGTAAGTTCAGGGTATTGAGGATTTTACGGATGTACCGATCGTCTGCCTGATTACTGAAGTTTCAAACGCTTGCTACGTCTTCTCCGCAGTTTTCGAGAGCGCCAAGCTTGAAGCCGAAGAATTCATGAACGACGTGCTAGAGAAGTACCTTCCGACGTCCCTGGCCCAAGATGAGTATCCCATGAAGAACTTCTCCTGCTACATCCCCAGGGACCTTCTCCTCGGCTTCTTCCCGACTCACCGAGACATTCGAGCCACATTTAGTTCCGGAACTTACGGGGGAGTCGATGCCTTGAAGACATTGAATTGCAGGCCGTCAGCGGAAGAGCCTATGAATGGCGTCTCCGTGAGTGTAGAGTCTGATTTCCCCTTCCGTGGACTCCGTTGCTCAAGATGAGCACGCTCTGAGATACGTCAGTATCGCTGACGATGTTGAGATCGTCTATGAACTCGAGCCTTCTTCTCTTTCTAGCTGACTTGCACGATGGTGCTTGAGCAACTCCGTGTTAAATACCAGGCAGATGTTACTGGATTCGATTTGAAGGGCACACATTCCAGTAAACTGGTTACTGCCAAGGTGAAGCACCTCTATACCGTCACCATGACGCAATCGCTTCCTGAGCGGCCGAAAATCGCCGAGATCCTACCCTTGATGTGAGTTGAACAAAGAAGGCATTCCTGTGATCGCCTCCCCGTGTTTTATCCAGAAGGAAAGTCAGACGATTCGGTTTTCAGCACCCGAACTTTCGACCTCGAAGTGGGGACCTTCGGCTTCAACTCTGCTCGTCGAGCTCGTCTGCTTCAATGCGTGGACTCGGGAATCCGACGGGAGTTGAAGAAAGCACTAGAAGCGGACCTCCTCCGCCTTCTGGGCGACGCCCTGAGCCGGAGCGATCGCGACCTTCCGGAACCGCATTTGGAATCGGATCAATCATAGACTGTTGAGTGATGAAGGGTCCAGTTGGTCACTCCGACGGCGGTCTCGAAGCCTCAAGAGTATTTGTATCATAAATTCTGGAGCAAACCCAGAGAGCCTCTTTGGCGTGAATAAAATAACATTTCCAAGAGACTAGAATAATTCTTTCTCGATAGCCGAGAGCGATCGGATCGGACAATGCGAGGCCGAAAATATCCGACGGAGCAATGACGGTTCGCTCTCGAGATCGGCGAGCGGGTATTCGGAGTCGTTTCCTCGAAGCATCGACTGTACTTAGTGATTGCGCCGCCTGGGATCAGAAAAACCGACAGCTGAGAAACTCCAATTCTCTCGAAACAGTCTCAGCGAGTGAATCACTCCCCTATGCACGAAATAACATTGATCGAGGAATGGAGTCTCACGTACTCATCTCGGGATCCTCGAATGCTCCAAATTCTTAAGAAAGAATTTCCAACTCATGGTCTCTCGTAATCCTATCAGAAAGAACGAGTCACGATCACTCCTGATGGCTGAGTGAGCAGTGCTCGAGGCGGTTTCGCGTCATCATACTTGGAATGGTTTTCGCTCGTTTCAGAGAACTACGTCTCGCGGGACTTACGGTCCGCTCAGTTGATTAGCTTAGAAGAAAGAGCAGCGGTATGAATAAGTCCGGCTGAGGGAATCAAACAAGGCCTATTCCATCAGGAGCCTTGGTGTTCATTCTCAAGTCGCTGAGGACGGAACCCACACGTCTCAAAATGAGGAACTTGGAAATCCTCCTGACCTACGCTGCGGCGATTTCGACCGTGCGCGCAATCGCAGACAGTGTACTCGGTGAGTCCGGACGATGATCACTATCTATGCCGGTCGTGAATCTTATGACTGATATTGACGGGGTCGAGAGGGGAACGCACCAAGAAGCGCTCGCCAATATCGAATTCATAATCTCGTGCTCGCAGAAGACACCGCTTTTGAAGCCGAAGAATACATGAGGTCCCTGATCAAGGATCATTTACGTCATCATATGATTCAATCGGAATCGAATCTCAACAACTTCTCATGCATAATCCTTCGAGAATACACTGGGCGAGTTGCACCTGTCGGAAGAGACCTCAACGCCTCTGTCACAGAAGGCATTGTGAAGGGTCCCATCACTTTCAAGGCAGTGAAGTGCAGATCGACCCGAGAGCATCCTGCGGGTCATGTCTCCGTGAGTTTCTACATATAATCGTACCACGGCACTCGCGCGACTTTCCTGTTCCTGGCGACGATGATTTGCGTACAGTTCTTCGATATTTGACGGAAGACCGATTCTACGTGAATGACGACGAATGGTTTGAAAAACTAAGCTCGCTCCGTTTTCAGTTCTCTTGTTTGATCGAAACGGAGCCCATCGAGGTCGAGTACTCGGCGACCGTTTCAGGCTACGATTTCCTGGGAAGGGTTTCAAAGGTGCCGTTGAAAGCGAAATCAGATTTCGTTTTCCATGTCCGAATCTGTCAGGACGCGTCAGCGCAGCAAAATGTGGAGGAAATCATTTCAATGATGTAAGTCGCGATTGCAAACCAGTGAGCAGCATGCTGTTGAGAGGGATCGGAGATGCCAGAGCGAGCTGTGTGCTCCCCGAGCTCCCAAATAAGCCTATCGCGATATATCTCGATGGATTCGAAGAGCTCAATTTGAGAGTAATGATTCTGTTCCCCGACCCTCTCTAGGCTGAACAAACCGAAATTCGAGAGGAATACCTTCAAGGCTCTCGATCTGCAGGGGAAACAGCAATCTCTCCTCCAAGATTGTTTGACGTACAATATTCAAAAAGGATTGGATTTCTCCATCAAACGTTACCTAACTGACGCCTTCCAATCTGCACTCGATGCGATGAAGCGAGCGCTGCCCACCCCGACGCCTAAATTCGCGGAGGGAACCGGAAATCGGGGAGACGGGTTCGAAAAGGAATGAATTGGCTGAGCGAGCTTTTTTGGGCTGTACCGCACGGCCAAGGTCTGACGTCCCGAGCACTCTTATTCACATTGCGTCCGAGGACGGATCCATAGAGCAAATGTGCCCAGGAGGATCAAGACCGAGTACCTGCACTTCCGTGAGGAATATCCCTCCGGCAGCAGGGATCGATGGCCACACAACCTCCCGCGCGATGATAGCTTCTGCAGGAATAAAGGCAAAATTTCCCAGCATGCGTAAAATTTGCTCTACATCGATACATACATGATGGGTCTCAGATTGAAAGAGGGAAGATCGAAATTCTCGGAAAGCCTGAGTTGGTCGCAAGACCTTCAAGGAAAGAGAGTCACGTTTTTCCAATTCCGATAGAAGCATAGTTTATTCTCGCAGATATGAATACAAATAATTTACATCATTCATCTTCCGAGCTTAGGACATGCGTATATAGAAAATCGGATCCCCGTGAACGTGGACGACCCATACTATTCCATGAAGGCATCTTCGAACAACCTGTTGCTGACCGACGGACTGCTAGCTGAAGCTCTGGCTGCCGCGAAATGATTCATCGTAGCCTCGTCGCCATGGAGCGCTCGTAACCTTTTCTCCACCAAATCAATGGCATCGTTTTCGTCGTCGACGACCATCGGTACGCCGACTGGCAGCTTTGGCGGAAGCTTGCCCGAGGAGGAACCTTGTCTCAAGGCTTGGGTCGTCGAGGCGGAACTTTTAGACCTCGAAGAACTTCGATGATGTTTCGACGACGAGGAACTCTTCGATTCGCACTCAGGCGTTCGAGCCTTGTCGATGGTTATTTTCATCCCTTGCGCCGACGAGCCCTGGCGGACCGTGAACTGCTTGTCCGCCGATGACGAGTGCTTGTTGTTCGGCAAGGATGAATCACTTTTCAAGTTCTGATGAGATCTTTCGAAACCCGCAACAAGACTCGAACGAGAAGCGCTGCCCTCGCCGCTGTTCCTTTTCTTATCCTTCGAAGACGAAGATTTCGTCGAGGACGACTTGGACGAAGATCCCGAAGACTTTGTGGAGGAACGATCTTTCGATGAACTGCGTTCTTTCTTTTTTCCGTGGCTGGAAGAGCTTTTCTTGCTTTTGCTCGAAGATTTTGAGTCTCTCCGCTCGTCGGTCGCTTTCATTGGCACCGCACTTAGGACTGCGCCTCCCGCGATCGTGTTCGGTATCGTGGTTTTGCTCAATGGTGGAGATTCACTAGAATCCCCACCAGTCAGCAAGTTTTTTTGGTTCGGATCGAACTGCCGTCCCATCGAGGAAACGTTAGCGTCGACGAATTGGGGGGGAGCTAGAGGAACATTCGTGGCGTTGTACCGGAATCGGTCGCCCGACGCCGAAGGCGACTGACTCTCGTGATTATTGATCTGTTCAGTTTCCATGCGATCGAGACAGTTTCGTTGAGCCTCGTTGGTAGGCTCGCGAGTGGTTGGGTAGGCCGCATCGAAGAACATGCTATCATCAATCAAATCGAAGGACTCATGCTCATCCGAAGATTTCCCTGGATGACCAACGATTTCCATCGGCTGGGGGTGTCGATACTGCTGCTGCTGCTGAGCAGAGCCGATATCCGGACCGGAGCCGAGGTCTTCTTCGGACGGTTTCAAGCTCGGATTCCCCTGCTGACAGAAGTTTTCCAAATCGAAGAGTTTCTGTCGCATGGAATCTGCGGAAATGTTGTCGTTGGAGCCTTCGAGATCGTAGAAGGAATCCTGTTGCGGCTGCGGTCCGGCGGTGGCGTCGAAGGAGAGCATTGACGAGTCGCTCGATTGCTTCTTGAGCGACTCTGCGGATTTCTTGATGGCCATCGCTTTATTCAAAATACTCCTCATCACTACCGGGATTGAGAAGCTCATCTGCAGAGCTTGCGCTACCTGTGCGTCCGATGTGAAACATTTGGTTTTGTCGCTCTTAAAAATCGAGTGACGATCAGGATCGAGGATGTTGTCGAAGCGAAGCTCCAGAGTCATGAGACTCTCGCAATCCAGCGGGTGTTCGAACGAGACGCAAACCGCGTTCAGGCCATTCGGACAGACTTCGAAAACCTCTGGTCGAATCTCGTCGGGTTCCGGATCGTAGTCGCGCACGCACGATTCGATCAAACAATTGAAAAAACATTGATGTCGTAAGAGATCGAGTATCGGAGGGACTTGCTTCGACGAAGTAAATTGAATCGATTCTACGATGGAGCCCATTCGTCCTCCGTCAGCGATGTAGTAGCTGTGATCCTGATCGGGGAGCTTGACGTGGAAGGCTGCGGTATGGTTTCTTTTCGTGATGAGTTTCACGAGGGGTTGGCTCTCCACGACGACGGACTCGACTCCGGTGATGGCTACGATCTTTGAGAGACATTCGACGTCGATTGCCATTGCACTTGAGAGTTTCATGGTGTAACACGCTCCGTGAACGGGGAAAGTCTGCGACTTGGGAGCTGCGATCGAAGACGGTCCGAGGGAACTGGGCACGTTAAGACCGTGACCGAGGGGCGCTCGGACCCGCTCGGCGTTCTCGATCGAGATCGAGACACGTCGTCCGATTTTATTCTTCGTAATGCACTCAGGAGTCGACGGAAGACGCTCGCCGGTCTCGGTCACGAAGTCGTATGGAGACACGAAATAAGTCAATTGCATTGGGAATCCGCCTATGCGGGGGACGAGGATCCCGACAGCCGACCTGAACAGCAGATCGTTTGTGTCGATGATCTCGCTCTGATGGTTCGCCATGGAGAGCAGTTTTCTCTCGAGGGTTTGCAAGGCCACGTAGGCCTTCTGCTTGATGGATTTATCACAATTCAATTTATAAATAGCTATCAGTCCTTCGAGATGAGCTCCGAACGCTGCGAAATCGCTTGCCTGGAGCACGCTGCACAGCTCCGGACACCGAATCGGATCGCCGTGGTGAGCGATTTTGACGTCGCGAACGTGCCCACTCGCCTCGATCATGACTTCTACATAGAACATGTCCGAGCTGATGAAGACTTCGAATTCTACGGGCTGGCTGTCGGTGACTCTCTTCCGATCTTTGGTTAATTTTAGTCCGAGCTGACGGGTGATGTTGTCCAATCGTTCAATCATATTTTGTGCTGATTTGATCCTTATGCTCTTCTGTAAGACTCCAAGGCACCGAAGTAACTGCTCGCGTTCTTCGTTTTCGACATAAGGACGCTTCCCTCCGTTCAGCTGGCGGAGCCGGGCGGTGACTTCGTTCCATGAGCGCTGCTGTTTTGCGCGTAACTTCTCCATGTCGATGGAAGAAAGTCGCCGAAAAGGTTCGGGCTCTCACATTTTCCTGCGATCGAGGCGTAAAATAAAATTAGGAGTCATGGAATTTATCGGTGAGGGGAGTCAGAAGTTCGCGGTGAAACGGGATGTCCTTCCTTTTTTTTGGAGAATTCAGATGGGACACCTATTCTCAAACGAATCGGAACGTTGATAGAAACGATAATCCGAAATTGGACAATGAAGAGTTCCCCTCTCTCAAATCTGTCTAATCACCTGCTGCACATCACCGCAGGGGATCTTTCAGCCCCATTTGCGTTCAGAAGAGGTCTGGGGAAGCCTCTCTCATCCTGTGGATGGTCTCTCGATGTACACTATTGTTTTCGGGGCTCCCGCCAAGAATATCGGCGAACCTCAAGGAGAGCGGATAATAATCGGCGAAGATGTGCGCAAATGGAACTCTCTTTCGTTTGATGTATTGATCCTGGAGAAATCTTCCAAGCGGGGCCACTCACATCTTCGCCCGGTCGAAGCGCATTCTCGTCTTAGCTAGCGACCATCGATGCCAAGAAAAGGATGATGAACTTACGCAAGTGGAATCGCTGCGAGCTACAAATTAAGAAAATGAATGATGCTCGGAGAGCCAACCGTTCAAAGATGGCGACTGCGTTTGCTCGGAGCATCCAGACACCCCCTGTCGAGGCGCGCACGACAAAGTTAGTTCGTATATTCCTTCTTGTCTTTCAGCGACCGGAGACATATCTGGCGTGAAGGGAGGGGAAAGGCCATGGCTTGACACGGAGCGTTGATGGGAACGAAGCGGTAGGAAAAGTTCGGCGAGATATTCCGGATCACTTCTCTGAGCGGACTCTAAAGACCTCCCAGTCTTCGAACAGCGCTGTCTGAAAGCCGGAACATGAATAGTCACTTATCACTTAGGAGTCGAATTCCTGCCGACGACGCAGACCGGAGCAGTCAGGCGACACCAGGTTTCTGGAACTCTAAGACCCATCAGAGTTTCATCCTCAGAGCGGAGAGCCCTCAAAAGGATCAACTCCGAGCTCGAACCCTTTCAATTTTCGCGTTGCCTATGCCGAGGATTCTTGGAATCGATTCGGATTGTCAGAATATAGAATGGCTGTGAGACTGATGGCTTTCGCTCTCCCGGGAACGGAACAGGACTTCGTGAAAGAAGAGCTCTGCGATCTGAGGGACCAATGGATCAACCGGGCATCCACCTTACGTTCTCCGAGTCGAAATTAACCAATGGCTCTGAGAAGAGTACTTCAGAGCGTATATGGAGCGTAGGCTAATCACACAATGCCCTTTGAGTTTGACTCAGAAGCCGAGGGGAAGTATCGCGAGTTCGGTCCATCAACTCGTGGAAATTGAGTGACACAAAGACCTCGATGTTCGATCGGGCTCACCGACGTCTCGACCACCAGAAGAACCCGACCGGATCAGCGACGGAGTGCACGGCGGAAGGATGGTCATACCGCCGGAACAAAAAGCGACGATCTCGCAGAGATACCACAACGCGACGGTCCGAATTCAAGAAGACCCGACGGAACGCGGCGAACCTATCTCATATTCAGGAGGAATCCCGGTGGACGAGTTCACGGAAAGGAGTTAAGGCGTGTGATTTTTCAGACCCTGGAACGTGAATCCAGAGTTAGGCTGGGAAGGCTTTATTTACTCTCCGCTCCGGTGACGATCCGCCAATGCAAACAATACTTCCTGATTTACTCGGAATGCCGGAGCTCCTGCTGCAGCTGTGCGTTCCCCTCTCTGAGGTTCTCGATTATTCTCTGCGAAAATGGGAGAGTCCGTTTAAGACATGGCCAAGGCCGTAGGTTATCCTTTCGTTCTTGAGGATGGAGTACACAACTTCCTTTTGGCAGCTTGGCAAAAGTAATCAACAGAATACTCTCGTCATGGACGAAGATGAGTGCGGAGCGGCTTCCTGAGCATCGGCCTTTGCCGGCGGCGATGATTGAGGATTTACCCCCGACTGGAAATCTTTCGAGACTGTTTCGCCAACCCGCTGCCTGAATATGAGATACAGAGCGTTTTGTCGAGCTCATCCGCAAGTTTGGGCAGCAATTCTGGGCGAACTCTTCTTCTCACCAAAGAGCATGTACAACAGCCGTCGAGGAGATAGGGCTTTCTCTGGCGGGCTCTTGGATCACCTTGCTGGGGTGTGCCCTCTCCTCGCGAAATGAAACTGGAACCCCACAATTAGCTGAAAATAGGGAATCTCGCACTCTCCGATACATACATTTGAGTGTCCTCGTGAATACTTGCAAGTGCTTGAAGACGCGTTCCATCGGTAGCCTCCTCGCGAAGGGAATGAGTGACACCATTTTCCGAAACCGTCGCCTCTGAGAGCGATGAACCTTCTCCCTTGTAGGCAGGGTACAAGAAATGGGGTCGAGCGAGACCAGATTCCACATTCTCAGCCTAGGCTCCCGGTACATTTAGTAAAAAGAGGTCAGATCTCAGCAAGGTACTCGCAGGAAGGTCTCGGATGGTACTCCCTCTCGAACACTCTCAGTGTCCAGTTCCCATCCAGTTCCTAGTGGCCCCCAGTCGCTATCTCGCATCCAGCATACTGACTCGACGACCCGATATCTGTACTTCGACGATTGAGAAATTGCCATAATAAACTCCTGACAGCCTGGAAACGCCGTGAATTCAGAACTCCCATCGCTTCCAGACGACTTCACCGAATTTCCAGGCGACTCATTGTCGCTTTCTGACTGGAGGATAGGCCTGGATACGCGCGCGACTGCAAGGTCGGAAGGACGCTGGATGCTTCTGTATGAGACTCATGGCGGAGCGCCCCGTCTGGCCGTGGCCCCTCTCCTCATGAACAAATATGAGCTCCGCGTCCTGGTTAAAGCGTTCCATGGGGCCGAGATTCGTCCACTTTCCGTCCACGTTTCCAACCAAGCGGAACAAACAACCGTTCATCCCGGCATTGGGGGGAGTGGTCCTGAAGGACTTGACCAAGCCGAGTTCGGATCCCAAAGAGATTTCGGTCGGATTGAAGTTGGGCCAAGCGGTATGGAGGACTAGGATCATGCGCGTCTATGTAGCCTGGTTCTTATTCGGAAGGAGCGCGTGGCAGACGGGGAAGAGGGAGCCCCACCAGTGTGCGAGAACAACAAATGCCTGCTGGAAGAGCTTTGGTGATAAACTGAATGTCCCGTCGACGTATATTTTCCCTACCAGACCGATCCACTCAGCTACGGTCTGAAGACCAAATGTTAAGATGCAATCTTCATCGCCTTACCCGGAATCCCCAATCAGAAACGATACCGAGTGTCCTGGTGCCGACTCGTATGTTGCGTATTCGGCCAGGATCGTTTTCCTGCCGTGGTCCAGCGGTAGAGCAGGCGCACTGGTTTAAACCTTCCTCACACGATTCACTAGCTTGGCCAGAGTACAACGCGGCAGGAACTCCATCTACACGGCTGTAGACGCCCCGCTCTGCACATGCTTGATGAGTTGGAGTCTCTTGACTCAAGAGTCATGAGCTACCTCCACGGCAGCCGCATCTGAGGGATCTTTGTGTGATCCGGAGACCTCGATAACTTCACCGGTGGCCACCTCTCGGTGTAAACGAACCTTGTATGTCCGTCTGAATTGACAAGGCCAGAATTGGGTGCTCTGATCGGCACTGGCCTTATCAAAACTGTGGGATACATGAAACCCTGGTGGCAAAGCTTGTCTTCCCCGCGGGAAGACTTGACTATCGTCGGATGCTCGAACATCCTCCTTCTAGGTGATTATAATACAAAGGGGTTCGGAAGATTTCTAGCTCTGGACTTCGATTCAAATGTTTCGATGTTGCTGAACTTCGCGTGTTTTTATTGATGCCGTCGATCGTCGCATGCACGCTTTCCCGAAGAAGTTGGGGACGTTCCACTTGACGAGAACCTTTGCTCCTGCGACCAAGATTAAGCTCTCGCTGGGAATCGAAGCGCTTGGATACTCGACTCCGGAGAGAACGAAAGCTGTAACGGTCCTGCGGCCCAGCGGTCCTGCGTACAAACGGTCCCGCGGCCAAATGTCTCGCGAACAGGCGATCCCGCGCCCGAACGGTCCTGCGACGAGCCGCGCGCCCGTCACCGGGCCGGTCGCCGCCAATCGGGTGTACGGGACTCATGGTGCTGGTTCACAGGTTTCGGCGAGCTTCGGCATACACCGGCCCATATTCAGCAGTCTCTGAGCAAGAAACAGAGCAATGACTCGCATAAGGTGATTGTAGAACACTTAAGATGTGAAAGAGGCCCTTGTACTTATAAGGGACGATGGCCCAGGTGGTCGTTGACGGTTGCGGTTTCGCGATTCGCACGTCTAGCGTGTCTATGTTTCTTATTTCTCCTTTTTTTCGAACATTTAAGTGGTGTCGCCTATAATCATCTCCGGGGTGCTCTTCGTCTGACTGAGCCCAGTCTCTTCTGTGAGGTACGCTCAGCCTCCGGAAGTCTCCGCATGCGAGGATCGCATGTTTCTGCATCTCCGTGAAACGTCCGTCAGATGGTTCCGCGTTCTCTGTAGGTAGCTCTTTGGTCAGTGCCTCCCCTGCAGGGAGGATCGTGCACAGAGGAAGTGACCGAAAACTCGAGGATGATAATCATAGATGATTGAGACCTAATACGTGGGGCAAAGAAGGTGATCAGGTGGAGGGAAGTTGTCGTACCGACAGCGCAGCATTGGATGCTGTGAGGAAATGGCTTCACTTTGTGGTCCGCAAAGTCGAACGGCATCAGAATTGAGGCTAGCACAGTTGTTCAGGATTTTGGGCAGTCTTTGAAGCAGCTCGACCAGAATCATGTTTATGGGCGAAGACATTCTCGCCCACTCACTTGTCCGGGAATGTATATAGGGGGATCTTGTAGCGTGGAAGCCCGGAATTCCGCCGGAAGACTCAGACTCTTTCCTGAGGAGCGTCGGATGTGGGAAAGTGATCCGGTGGATCGAGCCCACCAAAAAGAGCAATATGACTCTACATACATCGACCTCTCAAGCTAAGACACCGAGCCTCCTCAGATAGGTCAGCCAACAACTCGTATTCTGGAGCGAATATGGAATACGCAGCGCATCGTTACTGGTGATCAGAAATCAGCCCATCGAAGTCCGATATCGCTGACAAGTGTCAAGCAGTCCCATGAGGATCGTGGAATCGGGTCCAAGAAGAACTCCGGGAGCAGCTCTTCCATGCCAAAGAAGCTCTACTCCCAAGTGTTTCATCTCCGGACTTGATCGGAGCTTGCGAGTCGTGGCAGGATGACTCTGAGCAATCTCGACGGAGTCTTTCCGGAGTATCGTTCACGAGCTCCCCAGGCTTAAGTAGCTCAGAAAAGCTCCGATCTTGACTGACGAACTCTGGATCCTCAAAATTCAAAGGATTGCTCTTCACAGTTGATTCCCCATGGCCCATAAGCGACCAATCCTTCTCTGATTTCGACTCAAAAAAAATTCTGTCCGAAGGCAGTGCCTTTCCTCTCAAGTCATCGACTACAACGGAGAAATTCGAAGCCGCGCCGACCGGTGAGAGGAATCAGCGCCCGGGTTTTTTGAATGTTCTCGTTCAGCTCCAGCAGTAGAATGGGTCAAAATGGCGCCAAAACACGGAGACAGGGCGGCAAGTTCGAATTTCAGTCAATGAGTGTCTTCTGACATTTGGACGTCAAATGTACGTACGCTGTGCTGAGGATTGTCGGAGCGAATCGAAGCTACATGTAGTTCGGCGTCGCAATCAGCTGCCGTGAACGGAGTTCTCGTGATCTGTGGATCGTGATCCATACACTCAACACTCAAGCATGGAGTGGGATCATCGGATGGAGCTTCTATGAGAAGATCGCCGATTGCGTTCGATTAGGATAGGGTGGAATCAGTTCTCATCCGGTATGGAGGAATGGCTGATTCTGCCTTATCATGGCTCTGAGTTCCGTTCGACTGATCCTGACGCAGAGGAGGTTGTAGATCGTGTCCGAGTCTCCGGAGCTAGAAGGGGTCTCTCCGAGAAATCCGGATTTGGATCCAGAGTCAGAGAGTTCCGGTTCAGGAAAGAAAAATCAGAGCCTCGTCTCTCCAGGGGTTCGATAAGAGAGGGCACGGGACCAGTCAATCCCGAATGATGCACGCGTTCTCTCAGATCATCATGACCGCGAGAAGCCTTGATCCAGTTCCCGTAGCAGAAGGCTAGCAATGAGAGAGAGAGTGCGGGGCGGCAGCAGGCGACGCAGCAGACAGTCGTCGAACGGGTATCAGGAAAAACACACCAACATCAAGACAGTTCCAATCTATCTTTGTGATTCCATTATCCAGGTCTAGTGACAGTTGTAGCGGCAGCATCGACATCCTTAGGAACTGCGAGGAGCGCTTATCTAGACAAACGCTCCGAACGCGCTCGGCATCTGGTGTTGTGCTAATCCATCCGGTGGATGCTCCGTCGTCGGAGGTGCTGTTGGATGATCATGTCGACCGAACCATCGATGAGTTGATCTTCGATACCGAGTGTGGGGTAGTTTAGATAGCTGGGGATTCCCGTTGAGCAACTAAAACCTCTCTCGAAGTGGCAGCCTCGACTCGTGTCTTGACTCTAATCGAGAACCCCTCAATGAAAGTGCCGGGAAACGTGTTGTGAATGGTTTTGTGTGCACATTCGATTTCATCTGCTTGCTGGGTATGAGTAATACTGGAGAAACGGCTGGTCCTGCTGCATCAGCAGCCGTGGAGCAGTCCCCAACGAAATGCCAGGAGCCGAGCATCAGGGCGAAAATTCGATTAACGAACGAGCTACGCCGGAAATTCAAATTCAACGGAACGGAGTACCGTTTTAGGACGACACAGTATTCGATCCAGGGCGATCGAAAGTACCAGGAAGACCAGCTGCTTGTTTACGATGACGAGGAATTCATGGCTTTCGGAGTTTTCGATGGTCATGGCGGGAAAGAAGCCGCCGTCTATGCAAGAGACAACCTCATCGAGAACATTCAGAGACAACCTGGCTTTCTTTCCGAGTCGCCGAGCCTCATGATGGAGGCGATCACCGACGGGTATCTCGCAACTCAGGAAGCCATTTCGGAAGTGGCCGACAGCTGGCCGAAGACGGGCTCCGGGCATCGAAGTACATCTGGAACGACAGCTAGCATTGTGATCGTCGATCTGAGAAATGCGAAACTCTACACGGGACATGTCGGGGACAGCAGAATCATCATCGGGAGTACTCTCGAAAACCGTGATCTGTGGGACTCGACGTCTCTGACCAAGGACCACAAACCCGACAACGTTGATGAGTTCCAGCGTATCATGTCGCATGGAGGTTCCGTCGTGGTGAAACTCAATGTGTCTAGGGTCGTCTGGAAACGATCGAACCAACACGGAAGCGTCGATAAAGTGCCTTTTCTGAGCATAGCTCGCTCGCTGGGGGACCTGTGGAGCTACAACGAGGAAACCGCCGAATACGTTGTGTCACCCCAGCCGGACGTCGACTGTTACGATTTGTGCGGACAGTTCCGCTGTCTGATTCTGGGCTCGGACGGATTGTTCAATATGGTTCCGAATCTCGAAACCGTCAGGGTCATGCAAGAGGTCATGGAGTTCAACGACAAGCACAAAGAAGCTGACATACGGAGGAACGCTGCAAGTGAACTAGTCATTCTCGCATTGAATAAGTGGAGGTCTAGAAAACTTCGCAGTGATAATATTTCCGTGTTGACAATCGCTATCGAAACTTCGGATGCCTCGGATCAGACCGAAGAGTCCGACGAAGAGGAGAACTCGACACCACGATTACCCCTCAACCATCTGAATCAAGTAAGAATGACCGATCGATCGAAAAATTCTCCATACAAAAAATCATTCGCTGCGGAGCGGAGGATGTCGACCCGCGCGAAAATTTGGGCTTGAATTTGCTCAAGTAAATGTCGGAGACAAACTCGCGGGACCGTCGTAAAACACACGACATCGTCGGTGGTTAGCGTTTGTTAAGACTCCAAGCGTCTTTCGATGACGTCACGAGTGAAGTAGTTCATGATCGCGGTTTGCGTTCTCGAATCCGGCGCTGGAATTTCCGCTCGATTAGCTGCTACGGAAAGGGAATATATGAGCTCAAGGGGTTCTCTGATAGCATCAATGTAGACTTTGAGCTCTGAGGTTCGGAACGACAACCACTCATCGTAGCTCGGGATAGAGTGTCGATATCGATCGCTTCTAATCCGATCGCTGACATTCAGTCATCCCGAATCAAAATATTCGCAATCTCTCATTATTTATAACTATCCGTCCCTAATGCGAGATAATCCAGGGCCGTCACGGTGAATGTTCGAGGGAGTCCCTGGACGGAGTTGCTAGGAAATTTCACTGCCCCGCAAAGGAACCCGTTGGTTCATAGGAATATGCTTCGATACTAAAGTCTGCTATTACTTTCATTTCAGAACCGGGCTTGTGCGGGCATGAAACGATCTCGGAGCTTAGACTCTGTGTGTCCGAAGCCTGCTAAGGTTCACATAATGGATCTGCGCGGAGCCAAAGACCGGGCATGCAAACGATCATCGAGCACTACGACAAAAAATTAGTATTCGCAAGAGATCCCTCGGCCTACGACACAGTCGGCACGCAGTGAGCGATGGCGGCACAATGGTCTCTATACACAAGCGTTGCCTATCTGAGGCACTGAATTTTTGGAAAGTTCCGATGACGGTGCGCACGAGATTTGGAGTATTCATCGACATCGCCGTTTCGCGGGGGGCAGACACTGCGCATATGCATCCGATAGTTCATCCGCCGTAAGATCGTCATCACCATGGGGAATCGCATGATTCGGATGCGAACGCTATTGTTAAGTTTCGTGACGAAGAACTTCGGACCAAAAACAAAACTTTTGTCGTAATCCACGACCATATTCCGGAGCGGGCGATCCGCGGAGGATCGGAGAGGAAGCGCGCTCTTGTGGCTCAGACGTGCTCAATCATAGTCTCAATTAAACGTTCCGTTCATCAGCATATGTCGTACTAAAGCCGAGTACCTGATATTGTTGAAGTGCGAGGATGGTGTGTTTCCGTTGGAAGGCATGTTCAAAACGACGACGACGACGAGCGAAGCCAGAAGTATTTGTGTGTCTGAATGCGTGGGTGGTTGCTTTGACTCTTTTTCCGCGTGGCCCGCGCACTTTACGTTCCAGGCAGACTCCATTGAGGTGGAATCGAGAAATTAGCGTGATTGGATGAATGTGGATCGCTCAATGTTTTGCGCCGATTATCTTGCCTCAGACGCTCGGGGGGACGGGGAAACCAAACCGAAACGCAACATTGACCGACTGTATAGCGCCTCGTTCGGAGGCCGACCTCATCGACGTTTATTCGCTGTTTCGATTCAACGCCGCGCCGTGTTCCTCTTGTTGACTTGGATCTCTGTGAAGTTCGAGAGATCCTTCCGTGCACATTATTATAAATCGAATTCCATGGTTGTCTATACATCTCTATGTAGATATATGTAATACCCTCTGCGATGCATCGGTTCCTTCCGTTAGTTCACCGCTTGCTGTCGATCGCCCCCGTGTCTTATTCTCCGAACGATAAGATAAACTCAAGAGACGAGAGAGAATCTACCGCTGTACCTGTACGGAGTATTTTTTGATAAATTTACAATGAGAAAATACCGAGAGAAAACTGACGTGATGGTGTGTAACTTCGAATGTTCCAAATGAATGGTTGCCCAAATCTCGATGCCTCTTCATTTCATTTTCTCGATGATCGTGACATGTTCAGGGTCACCCCAAGGATCACCAGCATTCTCCACCAAATTACAGGAAGACGCAGGATGCGCACGCGGGGGTAGATCCGGAAGGGGTGATTCGCCTCTAGCTTCGTTGAATTTGGGTCCTGAACCCCATGAATCGCATGTTACAGAGAGTCGACGGCTGGTGATCGCACTGTTGGATCCCCTCCTGTACGTTTGGAGCGGCTGAGGAATGGTGTGTGGGGTTAATTGATGCAAGAAAGAGAATCGTTTCGAAAGCTGAATTGGCCGATTCACGCGGAAGCAAGTCCCTACCGGGAACCAGCTCGACCTCCTCAGCGAGGATTTTTCTGCTCTCCGCCTCTTGAAAGCGTCCGACAGAGGATGGAGAAGATTTCAGTACCGACACGCTGCATCATGGAACGCCTGGGATGTTCCTGCTCGGATGATTTATTGCAATAGACTGCTGGGAATCACTGCCGTGCTGCCGTGCAGTGCTGACGAGATGAGGAAACCTCGCGTCAGGCGAGAGGGGAGAGCGACACAGACTTTCAGAAAACTGCAGGAAAGACCTGAAGACCCGGAAGTGTTCCACGGTGAAGAAGCAATACAGGGGGGCTCCGCAGGTAATCTTTTGCCCTGGACGAAAAAAAATGTTTTGATGCGCCTCTTTGGGTGTAGGATGCACTGAACATTCGGAGACAAGTCTCGCAAAGCCACCGCATACTCGGAGAGGGCGTCGAGAACTGCGGCCAGCCACCAAGGGGAACAATTTTGGTTTTCGGCGAAAATTCTTGAGTCTGAGGTTCAGGGTGGCTTTCCCCTCGTTGAGCTCCATGTTGATGAACTGTGAAAACGGCGGGAATTCTTCATCGGGGAAGAGCACGGGGAATCATGCAGCATCTCGAGGGCGAAACTGACGCTGGGGAAGAGTTTTGAGTGGAGCGACGATCTCTCTCTCCATGGAGGCAGAGAAGACGTTCCTTGAAAGAACCTTCCGTATTTGCTCTGATCGAAGAGCATACCCCACTACAAGAAGAAATACGGTATGTGCAGTATACATTTTCCACAATCGACCCCTGGATGTCGGGCTCCATTCAGAGCACCGGGATCGAGCACATGCTCCACTACGTGATCAGGTTGTTCCGATCAAACGTTCGGATTCCGTACGGATCCGAAGATGATCCAGTGTTCTGGATTTCTGCTGGGTGATCAATCTTTCCTCGCTCTAGCTGCCAGTTAGGTCGCTCAAGAAAGATCGAAGCGTATATCTGGTCATGCCGACGGAAGGCCGAGTGGCCCGAGCGGTCTTCATATCACGAGCATATTGGCGTCTACCCAGACGATGTATTAGTCTCAAGAAGAGCGCCACACGCTTGGATATATGTAATGGCCGGGATCCCTCAACGATACTCGAGACGATGCCGAACTTCTGCCCCGAGGACTTCTTGGGAGCAGCCAGAGTTCGGGTAGAAAGGGCAAGACTTCAGGCACGGAGGTCTCCATCGAATCATCGTTGCAAAACATAAATAAAACAAAACAAATCATCGTTGTATTGTATGCGCTGTTCTATACGGTTCCTCTGCAAACATCATCTAATTTCTGGGAGTACAGCGAGCCATTCCCTGGAAAGCCTAATTCGGAAGGGATGAGCATCGCCTGATCACGGGAGGATACTTCGCGCAGCCAACGCTCGTCCGAATCTCCGCGCAGAGAATCCGAGATTGGCGCCGTTCAAGGAGCAGCTGGTCAGTTATTATGCGTACGACGCATCGGAAGGTCATCAGAAGTCCGAAAGCGAAGAGCTATCTCACGATTCTTTCTGAAGGACTCTCTCGTCGTCGGTCTGTGCGATCGGCTTCGGCCACTTTCTTTTTCTTCCTCTGTTGGAATTCCGCCTCTTGTTTGTGACGCCCCGAATGGAATCATCGTTCCCCGTGCAGATTTGCCGACTCGAGTGAGGAATAGCAGCAGGTGTCGGTGAGTGCGATTCAGAATTAGATATCAGTCACTCTGGAGGTGCTCATGGGCATCGAATCCAGAGTCATGATCTGAGACTATGTCTGCGGGCGAATTCGCCTGCATAAGACAGCCCAGGTTCAACGAGTCCGGAACGAGAGGTCCTTTTCTTGATCCGATGCGCGTCTACAATCCGACGGATGATATGGAAATCCATTTCTTATCGTCTCCCTTTGATTGAACACCCGAAAACCTGAGTTATCGACTCAGATGTCCCTAGAGGTCTATAAGTTGCTTTCCGATTTGTTTCGGGGCCCACGCTTGTTCGATTACCTAACATGAACTGATCCGTCGAGCGACATTCTCTTTGAGAGGCTAGTCGCTCTTTACAGAAATGCTATGCGGTGCAGGGCCTCCTCTCCGATCATAACTAATGATATTTATAGACACAACAATTCTCCTCGATCGCGAGATTGAATGAAGCTTGGTGAGCCTGCTCTCACATCTGTGAGATTCCGCTCGAGAAAGAGAATCGAAGTCATCGCTCTTATTCAACTCAGTTCTGGAGCTCTAGGTTGGATTAGTTCCTGTTCGAAACTATCGCGGAACACTTAGGAAGATTACCTATCTCGGACTGTCTGGTTCGCCGGTCGTGGAAGTGGTGCTCGGGTCATGGGTTGGCTCATAGAGTCGGTGGTGCGCCATCAGTCCACTAGTTTATTACGAACAACTGATCGGACCAGTACTTCACTGAATGCGGTCGTCCGTAAGTCGGAGCATCCCGACCATACTCTCCCTTAAGGATCCCAAGCCTGCTCGAAAATATGTATCATTGCTGATCCTCGGACTAGATGCAGGAGGGTCGGGGATCGCTGATCGCCCGTGAGTGCATGGAACGCGCCGACTCGAAGAGGTATTCTGCTGACATACATCTGCGAGACAGTAATGGCACTAGTTGAGAGCAGAGCTAGCAGTGATACCCCTGCGATTCGTTGGGGAGTCCTTATTGAAGCACTCATCGCCCGTGGACTCACGCATACGTAGCACCGTTCCGCCGCTCGCCCAAGCCCGTTCGAAATCGGAGTCCACAGGGGAACGGCAGCGGACTACTCACTGCTTCCAGAACTTGGATCATCAAATCCATGATCCTTGTGGACCAAGTTTTTGCTCCGGACTTGAGCGGTGGTCGGAACGATATAAGGGTGTCTCGGAGCCCGATTGGACGTGAACTGCTGCCGCAGTCAGCCACTGGCGTAGACGTCGGAAGGAAATAGAAAATGGCCGGGTTCGTGGACTGCGGGGATAGACCAGCGAGACTGAGACCCGTTCCGAAAGATGGGCTCCGCATGTAAACCGCTGACGAGGATGGGAATGTTGAGTTGGAGAGATGCTGGTGGGATGCGCGGTCATAGGCTCATGCCCCGGACGTTCCGTTCAACTGACCACCAAGCTAAGGGGGAGCCGTCTGGCCGGTTCCTCAACGGTAAGGACTGATATCGTCTCCAAGAGCCCCGTGGTCGAACTCGATCATCCCTCTTCTCCGATACAAGTTTCCCCACCCTTGTACGGTCGAATTCTGCCCTCACCATTAGAAATCCCATAACGACGTAGAACTCGCGTCGAAATTTTCTGGCGCTTCGCCCACTGCTGCCGTTCAGCCGCCCACAGAGTTTAGTAGTGAGTAAATTTCCTTTCCGGTTCTTGTGACGAGCTTTGTCCGCAGCCATCACTGTTTGGCTTGTACCCATTCTCGATGACGACTCAGCCACTCCTTGACCGAGAACTGCAGTCCTCCATTCGGAAATCATAAGCTCAGTGAGTGTGTTTTCCAAATTCACAGTGATGCTGAAGACCCTGTGTCCCTGCCTACGAACCGTGATCGAACGAGTCGGTGGTCGAGAACCTGCTCGCAGAATAGTGCACGACCCGCCAGGTAGGTGAGAATACGAACATCGCGAGAGTAGAGAGGGAGAACTCCTCGATTTCGCAGCTTTGGAAAATGGAATTCCTGGCTGACAGGAAGTGGATGGGACGATCGATGGAAAATTCCTGGGGAAGGATTCATGATCATCCCGAATGACCTCTCAATGGGAGATGCCGACGAGGGGCTCTGCACGATCGCCTTTCAGAAGCGAAACAAATTATCGAGGGAAAATAGTCTCTCCGCGAACAGATGAGGAGACGCATCACTTCCTCGGGCTCATGATATGGCATCTGGCGTCGATCGAGAATTTTACGGGGAGGGGGGAGACGTGACTCGAGTGATATCGAATGTCGGGAAGAGTCCATCGCCTGACTCCCTCCGTATATTCATGGTGATAAGCATCTGACGTTCAACGATTCGTCAGGCCTTGTTCAAGAGAAAAAGCTTCTGACGAAAATGTCTCCGCAGTGAGCTAGTCGATAGGGAGCACCACAACTTCTTTCCCGTACGGCCGGCGCGGCGCTGGCGTCGAGAATGTCCTCGATTATTTTTCCGTTCCGTTTCGTCAATCATTTTGCGGCGACGACTTTATCAAAATTTTGCTTCCGTCCGAGTATTCCTCATCTCGTTCACTGGGTCACGACAATGATGCTGTTCATCGCTCGCCGTCTGTTGGAGTTCGGCGGCTTCCAGCTGCTTGCCATCCCAGAGTTTTACGGTCATCAGGATTTTATACGCATCGATCCACTCGCTTTTTCCGATCAGATTCACTCGTGTTGTGAATTGCTTCTTCCAGATCCTCGTCCTCGACGAAGTTATCGTTTCTAGAAATGGCTCCGCGCGGAATTGACAGCGGAGTTGGTACATATTCCAAAATCATTCCATGAGTAGAGCTTGCTCACCTTTCTCGTTCCGCAGGACTCTCGGATCCGGCAAGGACCGAGAATATAGCGAATTTTTTCAAAGCGAATTGAAGCAAGTCGGCAGCGGCGAGCGGCGTCGGCTTGCCGACTGATTGCAGGCCTTGTGAGTAGGTGCTTATTTGGTATTTGTGAGCAGACCGTGACTGGGATCTCATCCATGAATCCCTTCGACGCGACGGTTCGCGATCCGCGACTATCTATGCATTTTCAATCGATTCATATGTTCTGACCCTGAGTCACCTGAGGGTCCTCAGGAACCCCCATCGATTCCGATCGGAATCATTTCACTTTTGGTGAGCTCCGGGCGGCGAGAAATGCTCAGCGCTTGAATTGAGCAGTTGATTTGTCCTCCGCTCAATTCCGAATTAAGACTGTTTCCACGATGGTCCCCACCTGCCTCTGACAGCTCCGTCGATTGGAATAGCGAACTCCCAATCTTTTCGCAGTCTCGCGCCGGCAGCGTACATTTTCAAAATTTTTGGGCGAAAAATTCGCGGTGGAGTTCTGGCTCCCCCCAGACGAACAAGAATTCTCTTAGAGAAGCCGGCGAAGGATCGACTGTAACACGACTTCAACTTGATTTTAATTCCCTAGCGAGATCTCATGAAATAATTGTAGGGGGATTTAAATCCCGCGTGAGTTAGAAAGTAATCGAGGAGAGAAAGAGAGACATTTCGAGACTGCGACTCCGCGTTTCTTGTTCCGTGAGGGTGACCCCCCCTTGAAAATTCGGAGTGAGCTCCAGTGGAGTCTGTCGCTGGATACTATGGCTCTAGAAGCGACGTAATCAGACGGCAGGCTTCGGAAAGACAAACTTTCCCGCTCGCGGGATGTACCTATATTCCCCGGCCCCCGAATATCTCCGGAATCATTCCTCAGTTTGAGAACGAATCATGCCGCTCCTGACTGACTTAAGCTTCACTTTATTGAATTCGCGCTCGAGCAGGACATGGAATTTTTCTCCAAACAGCTGTAACGTGCAAGTTATTCCCATTCAGAATTCAGTGTATGAGACATCAACGCGATCGATGCTAATAAAGTTACGATGAGAATGTTGAGGATGATGATGTCGATGATTACAGCGATGACGCAGCCGCGAGGCATCTGACGGTTCTGCCACAAAATCGAATCTGAATCAGCTTATCCAACATTTTCGAGGATATGATAATTTGACATTCCCTCCGGACCTCAGGGCTAGGGTCTACCGCTGCTTCCCTGTACAAAAAGAATATTGCCGCCCGGAGACGACTCGGACTGTCGGTCTGCTTCGCAGAATGTGCGTAGTCTCACTCACTCATTCCTCCAGTCGATCAATGAATCGTTCTTTCGTTCGTCAATCCATCCATCCAGCAATCACAAAACTAACTATCGACTACGTTCTAACAAGCGTTCTTTGGCAAAGGGGCCAATCCGATGCTAACGGTGATTTTACCGCTCGCGGCGACGGCGCTCGAGTTCCGTTTGAATAAAGCCAACTTATTGCTTCCCCCGCTCCCTCCCACAGATCCGCTGCTATCCGTGTCGCTGCCAGGGTCCTCGAACTGCCTCCGGAGCCTTCCGACCAACTCTCCGCATCCCGAGCTTCCCGAATACGTCGAGCCCTCGTCGCTCGAGATGACGGAGCTCGTCTCGATGTCGCGACCGTTTTCTCTGGAATTCCGAATGAATATGACTTCCGTTCTACCCGATCGATTTCCGGTGAATGGATCCTCGGGAATCGGTTCGAAACCCCGAATATCCACCGGCGAAGTGAAGTCCCGTTTGAACTCGACCTTCTCGAAGTCTCTCTTTGGAATAATCAGCGTCGACGCGTCCCTCTTGATATTTTTATCTTGAACTATAAACTGTTTCTCTAGAGGGCTGCCCGCGTCCCGTCGACCCGCACTGCCGAAAGGGCATGCCGTGACGAGGGGCGCTGGCGTCTCGCTTTCGGGTTTGGTGACTTTTTTCGGCGCGGGATTCGTCTCGGGCATCTCGCTTTGCAGCGAACTCAATTCCAAGTTTGATTGTTCCCGTCGAAGCGGCGGACGACTCACGTTCTGAGTCTTGTTCGGGGTGGACAGCTCAAGATTCGACGATTCTCGACGTAAGTGTCGCGATTGGACCCCGCCGACACCGCCGAACGCTTTCAAGAGCGGAGCCGCTTTCCTCGTTGGTGAGGATCCTTCGCCAACAATCGAAGACGCTGGACTGCTGGAAGCGCTGCTCGGCTGATTCGGTGACGTGCTGCCTCGCCCACTGTCCGTCTTCAGCGACAACAAACTCGACGCCGAAGAAGACCTCAGATTGCTCTGCGTAGCTTCGGCGGTAGAATTTTTCATGCAGAGAACTTCTGTGCGCTCGGTTTTCTGACGTTCGATTGTTTTGTCGGTGTCGCTGAAGTCGTCCGGGAATCGACTACTCTGACCGCGGCCGAACATTTTCCGGTGCGCCTCTTTGAATTCCGACATCAGCTTGTCGTGCTGCAGTTGATTGATGGCCACCTGTTTGAGCAGTGGGTTCTCCAGGGCGATATCTTTGGTGATCTGAAGCTTGCGCAGTTGTTGCGCAACTGAGTGGAGCTCGGAGACAAACATATGGGTTGGCATCGGAGGAGGTATCGGCCGCATTGTGTTGGGCGGAGCGGGCGGTGCCGGCGGTACCGTGGGCGCCGACGGCGGACAGTCTTTACTGAAGTCGGGTTCTACGGGAGGCTCCGGGATGTTCACGGAAGCACTGGTTTCCACGTTAGCCACCGGTTTCAGAACCACGTCGCCGCGGTCCTTAACCGGTAGCAGACCAGTGCCTGTGAGCTTCAACGTGATTACGTTGTTCTGTTTAAGCATCATGCACACTTCGGCGTGGACGAACTGATCCACTGGGAAGCCATTGACTTTGAGGATTTGGTCGCCGGCTTTGATTCCCGCCGATTCTGCCTCTGACTTCGGGTCCACCTGACTGACGTAAATACCGGTACCGTGTTCTCTACCGCCTCGGATCGAGAAGCCCAGCGGGGAGTTCTGCTGTCGTTTCAAGGTGACGTTCCGCATTCCCGCGCAATTCGTTTCGCCGATTTCGCTCGACGGACGTTTCGGTGCAGAGCGTTTCTTAACACCGTTGTTCACCACCGCGCTACCAGGTGTGAACGATAAGCTCGCTGAAGTCGTACTGAGGGCCGAAGTCGAAAGGATTGAGGTTGTGGCGAGCGACGTCGACAATGACGGGGATAGAGACGATGCCGTTGACGAGGACGACGACGACGATGATGATGATGATGACGACGACGAGGGACTGAGAGACTTCTTCGAAGTCACTTTCGGTGGCGGAGGGGCCGGTGCTTTCAATTTCCGCTGGCCTGAAGGGACCTCAGGGATGGATCGGAGGCGCTCGCCCCGTGCACACGCTTGGCTGCGCAGCTGCGGGTTCTGCATACCCGTGTCGTTTATGATGGAGCTTACAGTGCAAGCACTCAAACGACCCGGACAGATTACCCCGACGCGAAGTGCTCGTTGCCCGAATTCCTCTCTCTATGCTTCGATTTCGAGAGCTTCGAAAGCGAACGAAGCGACCTCGAAAGAAGACTGAAAAGAAACAAAAGCTCGGATTAGAATTCTGATAATCGCGATCCTGCGGGATCGTGCCCCCGGAGGCGCTGAGTCATCACAAACAATAGGATGAATAAATCGGTGTTGACTTCCGTCACGATCACGAAATCGATGTCGCTCGGGAGCTTGAATCGGCAGTAATTCGGAGTCGCGGACGGTGACACGCGAGAATGAGCAACATTTTTTTCGATGATTTCAAGGAACAACCTGAAGTTTCTCGCTGGTCGGTCCTTTCTCGACTTAAGTCCCAGAGAACTGTGGAAGTCGAGGCGGTCGGCGCCTGCCGCACGCTGTGGACCCGAGTCCCAGTCGCCAAAGTAGATCAACTATCTAAAATTACCCGGGTGGGTGTGGGAACCATCGCGCGGAAGGAGAGACGGACTGACGGGCGAACCGGCAGGTAGGCAGGCCGGCGACTTGCTCGGCGACGCAACGGCAAGCAGAAGTGTGGGCAAATCGGTGAATGGTCGGGAGTCGATCTTCGTCGACGCGAGATAATTGCATCGGATTACCTCGATTAGACCGTTTATTGTTCAATTTAGTTGTTCAGAAGAGAAATCGCTACCGAACAAGTAGTTCCGCGAACAGTGTGAATTTTCCCATGTTTCTCTCCCCCGAACGAACGAAGCTCCGCGCTTGAGGAAATCCTACATCGGCTACCTCGTGGATCTTTTTTCTCAGACTGCCAATGCGAGCGATCGTTAGAGCCGTCACGTCTTGTGGAAAATATTATACTCCTCTGGCGGAGCGCACCTAGCGGAGGGGCTTGAACGAGCTGCCCATATGAATGGACAACCAAAGAAGACGCCACGGGATGTGCGAGACAGAGACGCAGCAGGCTCTTTCCGGTTCCTGAAATGCCGTATCTCTCCGAACTCATCAACGGAATCGACCAGTCATGGGACTTGTGAGATCATCAGCTGTCTCAGGAAATATTCCACATAGTAAGGCGGCTTCGTCTTGTAGAGTGCCTTCCGACATGTTCTACGTAACAAGGGGTTTGCTCCATGTTGTTAGACCACTGATTAGGAAACACTCGAAGCAATCCTGCAAAACTCCTCCGGATGACCGAATCCGTCGAATTCGGAAATATGCATTTCGATGTCTTGCCTCAAAGACAATCGAACGACACCGGCAAATCATGGTCTCAATTTCGAGCCTCAGGGTTCGTGATTGTAAACTTCAAACAATGGGTCGGCCCCGCGATGCCCGTTTCGGGATGAGATGTTATCCCTCCGGTGTTGTTTTTTCGTTCTTCCATATGAATTGGTCAGAGCTGACGACCAGCTCCTCCGTCTAGGGTAAGGTCTCTGTAATAGCGGTACATTGTAGAAGTGTTTGACGTAGTTTTCGCGGTGGCAGCCATATGACGAAGAATATCTCGACGCACAAAGCACAGATGACGAAATCAGAGATAGATCGAACAAGATTCGTATTCAGTCGCATCGTGTACAAATCTTGCTCATTCGTTTTTTTCCGCCCCCTTCCGTTTTCGCAGACTGTGGACTTTTCGCTCGTCCCCAACGTCGCGTTTAGGTAAGCCGATAATGACATCAGGGACTGAAAACCCGGTCCGAACGGCCATGTATCAAATGAGGCAATGACCTTGTCTCACACTGTCCACCAATGACTGAAGGTGCAACTGTTCACAACCAAGAGTCCATTCGCACCTTGTCTAGACGGCCCGATCAATTCATGACATATTCAATGGTACATTCAGGAGCCTCTCGGAAGGCAGAGAGGCGGAGATGCTTGCGAAGCATGCGAGTAACGGAAGATCCGCCTGGAGAGCGAATGACATTTCTTATTTACATCTTGAGTTTTTTTTATGCCGTTACCACCTATGGTTCTTTTTGTTCAGTTATTCTCGCTCAGCTGATCGCGGCAATGCGGTTCTCCTCGACATCTCGTGGAAAAAAATCGAGGAAAAAATATTGCTTGCGGTGAAACTTCATTCCCAGCGAGGTTCGAGTGTTCAAGAATCCATCTACACAAGCCGCTGGATGTCCCCATGTTTGACTTGTCCCCAACGGGACCTTAAACGGTGAAAAAACTTCAGAAAGCGACTTCTCGCCGAAACGTCGCATAAGTTTCTGAGTTTTCCTCCGTCGCGGACGGAATTCTCTCTGGGACGTTGAAAAGGATTGCTCGGAGCGAAATCCATGCCACATCCAGCATTAAGTGTATCTGTCGTCGAAGTTTATCAGCTGCCATTTCGAGTGCTCGGGTCCGTCAAGCGCCATCAGACGGACTGCCTCGCGGACCCACGTGCGGGTTTTATACCGCACATTCTCGCAATATTTCAAATTGCCAGTATTTCCCGCTTATCCCACAGATTTTCCAACAATGCACCGTCATTCCGGTGGTGTCCCTTCATTGATCCCGGGCCTGCGCTCGTTTGTCCACACGGATTAGAGGACAAGTTCTGTTGTGACGACACGATTCGAAGGCTGACTTTACGTCGGCGTCGATGCGTCAACGCGACCGGAATCTATCCGCAGCTGTTTGCTCGTCCCCATTAAGTCTCTGGGTGGCGAGTTTGACGTTGCTGAGTTGGGGCCGGCGTAGTAACACGAAAGGCTGGAGTCTCGGTGCCAAGGCATTCATTGTTGACACCGGATGGTCAGCCCTCCTATCTGAGCATCCGGCCCCCAGCTCCATCCCGGCTCTGTTGTCCGCTGGTCATTCGCCGTGGTGGCCGTCCCATGAGCCGCTCCATCCATTCCTCCAATCACCGATATATATTCTCCATTCAGAGTCATTTAATCGCACCGAAGCCTGGCCATCAATGCTCGGGCATGAGGACGGAAAATGGATTCCCTGCTCGAAAGAAAATTCCCGAATTCTCTAAAAACTACGAACTCGATCGGAATACCCTCGTATGAACGGACCGACCGTAAGCAACTGGGCGGCTGGTCCGGATCGCTTGTGCTGAGAACCCAGAACCCGACGAGCGAGCCCCAGTCAAGAGTTCAATCCGCTGGTTCGCTGGAGAGAGTGAAGTCATTTGGCAAAATGAATTTAGGCCGAGAGTTCCTCACCGCTAAACGACGGAGGGAAAAAAGGGGGAATGGCGCTGTGGGCTGCCGGCTCTCGCGCGCTAAACACAGCTCTGGGATGTTTTCCAGGAAGCGAGGCTCCAAGCCAATTCCAGTCCCAGTCGCTCCCGGGTCGGAGAGTTTCCAACAATGTCATAGATTATATTTCTATGAGATAATGTCTCGTTCCTATCTTGGAATTCCTTCAACAAACGTGAGACAGATCGCTCGTTTGGGTTCAACAAAAGCGACTTCGACAGCGCCGGCGTGAGAACCATATCGGCGTCTTCGAACGCTGGAGCGATGGCGTTGATGGAAATCACTATGACTCAATGATGATGGTGATGATGTCGGCGACGTCAACGACAACAGTGATGTTATCATTGTTGCGGATGAACCGCGCCCATTAACCATTGAAGTGGTGCAGTTCGTTAAACGTTCGTCCCACAGAACGCCCATCCGAGCGTTCCTATTATATAAGCAATGGAAGCGTTTCGGCGGAGCGACGACCGCCGGGGACTGTTTTTTCCTCGTCGCTTCCGATGCGGCGACTTATTATCATATCATGTTGAGGAATGTTCCTCTTTCTGCAGCTTCCCAATTAGTTCTATCATTCAAAATGCGTTTGTCACCAGGGTCGTTTTTGCTCAATTCGATGTTCTTCCTTGCCATGACGAACGGCCGCGGATTTATAGGAATTCCCCGGGACTTTCTCTCCGTGAAAATTATTAGATGATAATTATCGACTGCTACCGACGATCGCTTACGGTCGCCAATTTCATTCGAAACACACGTATACGCCCCGACGTATCCGTAAGCTGCGAGGGACTGGATCGACGGAGATCTTGGACACAACCCGAGAGCTCAAAGCCTAATTTCGGAATCCTCCAAGCATTTCCAGAGTGGGTGCCAGACATCCATGCCATGCGGATGGTCGCCGGAGTCCACTCCGGATATTACTCACGAACCCACGATTGATGTATGCATGACGATCGGGCATCTGTCGCCGGAGAAAAAACTCCTCTTCCTCGTCGCCCCATCCGATTCATCCGATATTGGCAAGCAGCATCGTAGAATGACTCAGAATCTTTTCGACATATCATACGTCTCCCGATTCCAGTCACGGGCTTCCCGATGCGACAAGGATACGACGTGGGGCGTCAGGATCAAACTGGGAGGAGAATGATTGAAGACGAGACCACCGCCGCGCTATGCAAAGGATCGTTAACAGCGGATTGAAAATGATATTCAAACCGGTCCAGCCCAGAACCGAGCGATGAGCATACTGATCCAAGAAGCCGCTTACAGCGCCCATCTCGGGGTCACTTCACGCAAAGACCATGCAATGAAGGATCGAGATGCGATGAACGTCACTTTTCACGATCAACCCGCTACAGGTGTGTCTGGAGACCTTGACCAGAAACAATTACCGCACGTGGAAAACGATCGAGAATATCCTCGTCTACAATTCCGACTTCAGTGAGCTATGGGTTCGGCGAGGAATCGAATCCCTCAAGGTTTCCCGGAAAACACACGGTCTACTTGGGTATTTCGATCGCGTTTGCAGCGAGATTCGCTCTGACTCAAGTCTGAACAAATGGGAGGGTAAACGTAAAAACGGTAGTTGGTGCAGAGTGCGAGAAACAAAGGTCTCTGAGTGGCAGCCGGCGTTTCCGAACTGCGGATATCGGTCACCGCCGACTAACGGCGGCAGCCGCAGTCGGAACCGTTGTTTCTGTGCTGACCACTAGTCTGACCGGGTGACTGACTGTCCGTGTGCTGGGTCGG